AGTGCAATTTCAGCAAGGCAGACTGTGCAACATTTCACTGGCAAAGCAAGCTTGCAGTGCGCCAACATACTTATCATTGTGTTGGCCGGAGAAATTTTCAGAGCTTATCAATATTGAATACTAGATATTTTCATAAATGACTTTCTCTGTTTTGGCTTGAGTCATGGAACTCTTCTCTCAATTTGTACTCGTACTTGCAGACGCCTGATCAAGACTACCCCGAGGCTACCAGACACATCCACAGTATATTACAAACCTTGGAAGTTAGATATACGGCTCAGGCTATCTAACACGAGGCTGGACCTAGATCAAAAGCAAAGCCGTGTCACGGATTCCACCCAGATCCTTCAACCAAGCCTTGTCAGATTGGTCGCATCGCTTCTTTAAGATGCAAAGAGCCTCATAAGCTCTTCTCACCGAGCCTCATCTAATTAATACAGGTCACATAGCTCAGCTGACACTCATCAGTAAGCTATTTTTAAAATATGTTGCGCATCTATAGATCAGCCGCAAGCTTTAACCTCCCGATGAGAAAAAAGCCTTGCTGCGGACTGAGGACCGTTGTTCCCCAGATCAGCCCGCCTCACTAAGTGGGTTCTCCCCATCATCGATACCGTCCTTTGCATCTTATCAAATGTATGGTATGTTTCCACTGCCTGTGACACACCAGGGGATTTGGTTTATCGTTTGAATGTGTTCTATTTCGGACAGCAGATTTAGGTTCTCTGGATCAATTATATGGAAAGATTGAAGATAGAGAAGCAGTTCCCGGGATGCTTCGATGTGTTGGCTTCTATTGGCACGGATGTTGTTATTCCTGATCTTCTCGCCGATGGCTCTATTCTGGTATATCTTCACGTATACATACCTATCTGATACAATAAAGTAATAAATGCTATAGGCTCTAGAACTTATTGCTCTGTCTTTAATACTCACCTGCTTAAAGAGATCAGATCTAGATTTAAATAGGTAATCAGAGTAGATTCAGCCCTTGATAGTATTTAAGGACCTGGTGAGCTCAGCCTGGTCACGCGTGGCCAGCGTAATTCTCCACCATAGGCAGCGGTCTGGCTGCCTCCAGGTGCCCGATTGATATTCCCTCGAGATGTACGTTGGTAGTAGGTGTTCTATTTATATCGAGGCTCGATTACCACTCCTCTTTTTTTCCCCTATCAAGTAATTATGTCTGTTCTACTCTGTACCACGCTTGTGACATCTATTCAACTGCACACACTTCGTCGTGACATCATTCCAAGATGTCATGCCTAGAGGTGATCGGCAGCATCCCTGCGGTCAGTACTCTTCTTGAGGCCTCGATCAACATTTACGACAGTGCCCAGAGTGACATTAAGTTAACTAAGACGTTCAAGGTCGTTGGACGCCAACTGCCCGTCATACTCCATTTTCTTCGGAGATGCAAGAACAACCTAGAATCAGGTAGAGACTCAATGCCGTCAGATGTTTGCAATGCTTTAGAAGATATTCTTACTGCATGCGACGAGAAGGTCAAAAGATTGAGAGGATTATTCGAAAAAGTCATTCCTGGCGAGAAGGATGCGTGGGATAAACGATACGCAAAGGTATTTCGAAGGGTTGGAAAAGGAAATGAAGTTGAAGAGCTCATGTCTACGCTGACTGAAGACGTTCACGGTGAATGCTATTACGTCTGGGCAGAATGTAGACCTCAAAGATATTCTCGCAGATTTGCAATCTGCTAAAAGCTCGACCGCTAAGAAAGGGCACACGGCCTCGTACTTCAACACTATTGCGCATGTCGGAACTCAACCTCCCCATTCTAGTAAGTATCAGTAACCATATTATGTCGATTACACTGAATCTGAAGTGAAGCCTAAGCCGGGCGCAGATAACGGGCGCCTCTTGTTTCGACGATTTGTTAATTTTTGACAAGTCATGATTCGTTGCCAGTTCTTTCTCTAATAGACGTATCGATTTGTGCTTAAACACCCAGTTTTTCTTTCTAGAATCTCAGATTGAAAATCAGTAGCTAACGTTGTTAGTGGTCATCTTAGAGCTGAAGGAGGCTTTAGCTTCCATGGGCTAGTTGGCACCTGTCTTGGCCAAGCGCCTTACATCACAGCTAGACACTTTGTCGATCGTCACAACGAGGTTTGATGAGATTGCAACAAACATACACCCTAAATACAGGTTCCAAAAGCAACAGCGTGTAGTCCGCGGTGGTATGGGTGGTGTCGGCAAGACCCAGCTTGCTATCGCTTACACAGAGTCGCGCCCTGGATCTTATAGCTCGGTGTTTTGGCTGGATGCAGCATCCGAGGCAGCTTTGGAAAAAAAAAATTTGCGATCACTCGCTAACTTCATTTTCGACATCCACAATCTCGGAGTCGCAGACGCATGTGTGGGCGAGACAGGACAAGCTTGGCCAGGCGCATCATTGAAACCCAAGGAATTTCCCGCTAGTCCTCTTGCAATGATTTGCGATAACTCAAGATAAGGTTCAAGCTACCGAAGATTGCCTATACAGTTACGAGACGTATGCAATCTATTTCTTGTTCAAAACTTGGACTTAACCCTGTTTCCTAAACACACAACCAGCATTAATGAATGAGTCATGTAGTCACTCTAGTCATTTGCTGTATCACTGACTATACAGGACCTAATCCTAATCCAAACTAGGGTAGCTCCTTAATGCTATGATTTTGTTGTACGGTGATATGTCAACCCTAGTTGAGCCTATGAGACCATCTCCACATGAATACTCCCCATAATTTGTCACATCTACCAAGAAAAACCTAAGTATTCCGGAGCCTCACGACTAAGATCCCGGAAATTCACTGTAGTATGGCATTCGACACGGGTATTTTTGTTCCAAAACTACCATGTCCAGCGGGCCAACCATTAAGGATACTCTCAACCTCCTCACGGATACGTTTCCCAGAAGATCATGGCCCCCATAACCATTCCCTGCATTTTTGAAGTAGTAGTGGCAGTTGCTAAGCCAATGGTCTATTTAAATTATCATCGGCGTAGATACTTTCCCATGGTTCCGTCTCCGTCAGTCGTCGTCCATACTTGACCACACTTACGTAATATATGGAGATTTCGACTCCGGGCGATCCGCCTGAAAAGACTTATATCTTCGCCGGGTGTAAAGACGGGCCTATCATACAATCTAAGGACCGCATTGTTCAGTAGTCAAGGAAATCCAGCACAATCATGTCAGGCAAGCACGTCCTTCTTACCGGAGCCAATGGCTTCGTCGCATCCCACATTCTCGCTATCCTTGTCGACGTACGTCACCTCCACCCCCACTACTTGCGCATCACATAGGTCAAGAGCTGACTTTTTACGCAGGAGGGATACACTATAACCGCGACGGTACGATCGCAAGAAAAGGCCAAGGAGGTCCTCCGGACCCACCCCGAGTGGGAAGGCAAAATCAACTTCGCCATCGTCTCGGACTTCACCTCAAAGAAGCCCTTCGATATTCTCTTCCAAAATGCGGCTCCTCCCTTCGACTACGTGATCCACGCGGCGTCGCCGGTGCAATTCCAAGTTGATGATATCCAGAAGGATGTGATTGAGCCAGCGGAGCTGGGGTTAGTACCCTCTCCCTTCTCTTGTCTCTTCATCTCAACTCACTCACCTGAACCCTACTAGGACGACGGAGATCTTGAAAGCTGCAGCACGTCACGGAGGCCCCACCCTGAAGCGCTTCATCGTACTGAGCAGTGCAGTCACTGTACTCGACTCTTTCGAGGACATGACAAAGGAGGGGGAACCCTATACCGAGAAGGACTGGAACCCGGTACGCGCGCGTCCCACACGAAACAGACCCCACGACTCAGCTCCTAGAAGAATAATTGAACTCACATGAAACAGGTCACGGCCGAGCAAGCCATCGAGAAACACGACACTGTCCTCGGCTACAACGTATCCAAGATCCGAGCCGAAGCAGCCGCATGGGAATTCATGAAAACGAACTCCCCGCAGTTCGACCTCGTCGTCATCAACCCGGATATCATCACGGGGCCCATGATCCACCCCATTCGCGGGCCCCAAAACATCAACGAGACGAACCAGTTCGCTATTGCGAACTTCCTCAACGGGACTTATTCCCAGATCGAGGGAGTCGCTTTCCCGTTCAACCACTTCGTGAGCGCCCCATCTCACTATGGTAGAACTATAGTAGTATCCATAACATAGCTAACATCCTCATCTCGTAGGTGGACGTACGCGACGTCGCACGCAGCCACGTTGACTCGCTGACCAACCCCGCCGCCGGGAACCAGCGCATCGTGCTCGTCGCCGAGCTGATCACGCCGCAGCTGATCGCGAACACAATCCGGAAGCATTTCCCCTCGCTGCGCGATCGGGTCCCCGAGGGAACGCCCTCGCAGATCTTGCCACCTGGCGTGCATCCTACTGGGTGGGATCTGCATGTCAGTACTGATATCCTAGATAAGGGGACGAAGGGCGGCAAGTGGCAGTATAAGGACTTGGAGTCTAGTGTGGTTGACGCTGTGCAGTCGATGCTTGACCACAAGGTCATCTAAGGGGGAAAATAACGTAGGTGATAGTATAGTATATGTATTTTTATGCTTTCGATGAGATTTGTAACACTTCTCTACGGGTTGGTGAGTCAATATGGTCGAGGAATGAAAGCCAATGGGAGTATCAGTGTTGAATGTACCGCTGTTTACAATAGGTAGAAATCAACTTCAATAGAATGGTCTATCTCTAGTCGACTACAAGACCATACCTAGCGATCCCAACCTACCATTCTCTAGTTATAACTCCAGTCCCTAGATAATATAGAACAAAACAATGACTATCAATCCATAAATTAATCCATTCCAGTAAGCCATAGGTACTATACAAACAGCATCCATCCAATCAGACCATAAAAGCAGCAATAACACAGCAAAACATCTCATCCATCAGGTATCAAAAATAACAATTACAATTTATATAATCCTCATATAGAAAGGGGAAAGTATATGGTATCGTTCCCTGGGTCTACCAAACTCGGGTAGAATTTCTGGTGGCCCGCACGCGTCCCCATCCGGGTCCCCGGACCAGAGGCGTGGATTTCATCGGCTGATTTATTCGGCATCGGAGCAACCGACGGCGAGGAGACCACCCTGTAGGAAATTGTTAGTTGGGGATTCGTCTTGGTTGTGGGGGTTTATGGAGAAGTAGATGGGCAAGGTTTCATGGTTCGTCGTGAAGAATTGTGGGGGGGAGAGTGCGGGGGTGGCAACATACCAGCAGGTTGACCTCGGTGCAGCACTTGGGAGCGGAGTCGCAAGAGTCCTTCTCGTAGGCGTGGCCTGTAGAAGCATCAGCATTGGTCAGAGCAGACATATACTACCTAGCCAGCAGCCAGTGTAGAGAAAGGTCTGGTCGGATGAATGGGGCTAGCTGGCTTACACAGGAGGCCGAGAGAGCCGACGATCTCGGCGGCGTTGATGCCGAGACCCTCCAGGATGGGGTCGACCAGGGGGTCCAGGGGAGTGGCCAGGGAGCCGCAGCACAGCAGCGGGGGCAGACACTTAGACTTGTCCTCGGCTTTGCTGGAAGTAGTGGCCTGGAGCTTGCCGGAGTTGACGGCGTCCATGAGCTTGTTCTGCAGCGACTGCTCGTTGGCGTCGGGGGTCGCGGAGACCATGGTGCCGGCGGCGGCGAGGAAGGACAGGGCGGTGGAGAACTTCATTGTGTTTGTAAAGGTGGTTTGTGAGGGTTTGTCTTTGTGACTGAGTAGGGAAGAGAAATGGACACTGAACTTTGAGTTGATTGAGGATCTGAGGATGGACAGCAGGGAAGGATGAGACCCTCTTTATATCTTCGCGGTCCGATGGCAAGACCGAGTGATTGATTACATGGCATTATCGTGAACCCCTTAGCAAAGCCTCGCAGTTGTCGTCAATCGTCCTGTGGCCCAATGACGGCATCGTATCCATTATCTACAATGTGTTGGACGTGTTCTCCACAGATCGCAGTCAGTTAGGGCTAGCGCGACTCCATCAGGAAGACTATTGTTTACGAAGAATTCATAATCAAGTTGTAGACCCATTGAGCAGACGAAGATAAAGAACAATTCCTCATTTCAAATCATATCGTCTAACCATGGCGGTATCTGTCAGTAAGTGCAGGTAGACAAGACAAGTCACATCGGACTGGGGGAGTGATCTGCAATCCTTGATAAGGACCCATTACGTCCGTATAATAGTTCCCCGTAGTGAACGGGATTCTAAAGTAAGAGCGAATAACGAAAGCGGGTTCACAAATCAATAGCCCAGATATTGGCGCTATTTAGTGCGCAGATCTGCTGCAGGAACAACAGCAGTCGAGATAGATGGGTGGAGACGGGCCCCATCCCAGTGTCCCAGTCCCCATTCTATATCCCATATACTACAGTGGTTCATGGTCCACTCTACCGATGCGTTTATTCTGATTCGACGGAACTAGTGTTAGGGGCAACTTCGAGTAGAAACAGGAAAAAGCAGAGATGATTCGGGGAAAAGGGGCCGTCCAAGCCCTACCAAGTGCCTGTTAAATGCCGATTCCTTATCAGTCAGAGGTGCCTGTCCCACCACGAGCTCCAGATGGGCGCCGAATCAGATCGACCATTTATAGGCCGATCCTCCTGCAAGGGCCAATTTTTTCCCGAGACATACGAGGTGAGCGATAGGAGCATTTCTTCCAGAAAAAGCAATAGACCAACAGGGATAGTTGGACTTGATGTCCGACCCGTGATTATCTCCTCGCTGACCGAGTGTTCGGCAGACGGTACAGGCTGAATCAAGGCCAAGGCTCAACCAGGCACAACAGGGGAGTAAGGAAAGACAAAGGTAGATAAGCGCTTAGGGTCTTCTGACTGGTTCAGACCTTGTTTTTGCCCCAGTTCCTATACGTCATCACCAGCACATGTACTTTGCGTCGGACTGCAAACTTCCCGAGACTCTGGTTGTGATATGCGGGCTTTCGTGAGATCTTTTCACGGTACCTCCTACGATAGGCAGGAACGCCATGATAGAGATCCAAGTGCAAGGATATGATGTGTATCATGTACGCTTCCGAACAGTCTTTACGTAACGATGATCGTCTATCAGCGATATGCACAGTTCTCCGTGATTGTCCTCCAGAGTTGGCCGAACGCTGCCCTCGAATGCAAGTCCAGTTAGTTTATTGATGACCAGGTGAACGGTTCGAATTGTGGCGAGGTCAACAACAGACCTCCAAGATCTGAAGGTGCCAAGGTGGTCAAATATCCACCCGTGCCACCTTTCGGTTGGGGTTGGCCTGTCCCCTCGTCTCAAGATCTGCATCCTGAACAGGCATGGGCTACGTTGACAAGGACTGGAGACAGCTCTCCCCATTAATTTCCCGGTTAATAATCCCCAAGGATCAGTAGGGGAGGCGCGATCACTCTGGAGAGGAACCACTTAGGAGTTGGCCCATATAGTGGGTTTGGGTTGGTTATCATTAGGGATCGATATTAGTGATGGAATTTCGAGATAACAAGACGATGACTCATTGTTGACTCAGCAAACCAACAATGACTCAGCACTGACAAAGAAAGGTGTCTGTGGCGGTGCTGGTGTGGCCGAATGCCAAGTCTCCAGCCACGACTCGCGACACACAGAACAAAAGAGGAAAAGCAAAAGGAAAAGGAAAAACTTCATCGGTTGATCCTCCACCCGCTTTCAATCCCACCGCCATCTCGAGTCGGTAATTCTATCACCAATCCGTCTCATCTTACCGTCTGGGATCCATTTTCTAACCCTCTCCTTTTATCTTCCAGACATCATGCCGCATACCTCTATTGCCGACCTGGTCGGCGCCCTCCCGGCGGACGACACCTGGGGCCCCGCGACCCCGACCGACAACATGCTCGGTGGTGTCCCTTACGCTCCTTTCTCCAAGGGTGACAAGCTCGGCCGCATGGCCGACTGGACCTCGGATTCCAAGGGTGGTGAGAGAGGTGGTCGTCAGCAATACCAGCGCAACTACCGCGACCAGCAGGTGTACGGTGCCGGTGCCTCCAGCCTTTTCAACGTCCAGGTCGCCGAGGACGAGTCGTCTTTCTCCGTCGTCGACAACACCCGTGCCTCCGCGAAGCGTACGTTCGGCCGCGGCGGTGGTACCGTTTTCCGTGGTCGCGGTCAGCGCGGCGGTGCTCAGCGCGGTGGCCGCGCGGGCTTCCAGCGCGTTGGTGGTGGCCGTGGTCAAGGTGACCGCTTTTATGACAACCGCTCCGGCGGCGGTCGTGGCAACCGTGGTGGTCGTCGCTTCGGCTGGAGGGACTACGACAAGCCCCAGCGCACGCGCGAGCCGTCGGTCAACATTCGCCCCGAGTGGAACTTGCTGGAGGAGGTGGATTTCACCCGTCTGCTGAAGCTGAACCTCGAGGCCCCCGAGGGCGAGGACCTCGACTCGTACGGTTTCATGTACTACTACGACCGCTCCTACGACAAGGCCCCCGTCAAGGGTGGTGAGCGCCGCCTGCAGGCTCCCGAGCGGGCTGCCTACAACGTCACCACCTCGCAGGATCCCATCATCCAGGAGCTCGCCGAGAAGGACCAGGCGACCGTGTTCGCCACCTCCGACATCATCTCCATGCTCATGTGTGCTCCTCGCAGTGTCTACTCGTGGGACATCGTCGTCACCCACCAGGGCAACAAGATCTACTTCGACAAGCGCGAGGGCGCCTCCCTCGACCTGGTCACCGTCAACGAGAACGCCATCGACGCCCCCATGGAGATGGCCGAGGCCGCGGGCAAGCAGGAGTCGATCAACACCCCTAACTCCCTGGCCATGGAAGCGACCATCATCAACCACAATTTCGCCCTGCAGACCGTCAACGAGTCCCAGGACGCCAAGGTCGAACTCAACAACCCCAACCCCTTCTACAACGCCAGCGAGGAGACCGAGCCCCCGGCCTCCAAGGGCTACAAGTACCGCCGCTTCGACATGTCCCTGGAGCGCGACGAGGAGCCCCTGAACATGATCATCCGGACCGAGGTCGACGCCGTGCTGAAGAACCCCGTCAACGGCGAGGAGCAGCAGCTGGTGCTCAAGGCGCTCAACGAGTTCGACAGCAAGGCCCAAGGCTCGGGCAACGCCCTCGACTGGCGCAGCAAGCTGTGGTCGCAGCGCGGTGCCGTCGTCGCCACGGAGATGAAGAACAACAGCTGCAAGCTGGCCCGCTGGACCACGCAGGCCGTCCTCGCCAAGGCCGACGGCATGAAGCTGGGTTTCGTGTCGCGCGCCAACCCCCGCAACGCCACCTCGCACGTCGTCCTCGGCGTGGTCGGCTACAAGCCGCGCGAGTTTGCCGCCCAGATGAACCTGAACATCGGCAACGGCTGGGGCATCGTCCGCACCATCGTTGACCGCATCCGCGCCCTGGATGCCGATGAGGACCCTGAGAAGCCCAAGAAGTACCTGCTCATCAAGGATCCCAACCGTCCCGTCGTCCGCCTGTATAGCCTGCCGGTCAATGCCTTTGAGGAGGACGAGGACGAGGAAGAGGCCGAGGCCCAGGCCGCCAAGGAGGATGATGAGGAGTAAACGATGCGATGCTACTGTCTTATGATATAATCTCATGTTTCCTTCCACTGTTATTTTGCGTGCATCTTAAAAGTTAGCTGAATGGATTTCCATAGGCCTATCGTACTTGTCACCTCCCAAGCCTGCCTCAGTAGCCGTAGACCACTGGTAGCCGGACAGACATCCTATGCACATCCCGATATGATACAACTCAATCAGGATGCTGATGATAAATTCTCTAGGACGACGGTCTTGTCTCACAAAGCAACAAATTAATCTACCTAACACTTCGGCCCAAGGCAAACATTCAACACTTTGTTTCGAACACAAACCCCATTCCCTTCCTCGACCCCAAACCCATGCTTAGAAACCGGACCAAGGAATCAACCCACCGGACAACCCAAACCCGGTACCGAGCCCGTCAACTACCTAAGGGCTCTTCTTGGCCATGTATGATTGTAGCCGAGACAGAGACGTCTCCAACCACATACTTGCTCATAATATCTATATCTGAAACGCTATCTACCGGAGTTCGAATCCCCACGGCACAAATCACAGTTTCTCTAACATAGCCCACCAAAAGCCTCAGATGATAAACGGCTAGTTACCCAAATGATTACCGCCGATGTTCGGGGTTTACTTACTTAGTTCCTGGGTTGGTTCTGTAAAGTGCAGATCACGTTGATCTTCGCGGTTTCAGATTCTGGGGTTTGATTTCATTCTGAAACACCCCGAGAATATTCTACCGGGCCAAGATGTACTATACTATACTCTACCCTCGGATCCTCGCAGACTAGGCAGTGTTTGACAGTTGCCGAGCATGTCGCGTACCTCGGAGCACGGCATTGCCACTGCCGGCTAATGCGTAGGTCTACCGATGCTGCAGAACTGGTGTGGTTGGGTCGCTTGGATGAGAGGGGTAGTTTGGAGATGAAACGTCGGAGGGGGAACCTTGGGGGATGGTAGGGAGTATACCACCGGTATAGTAGGTAGGTATCTAGTTACCTAGATTTGGATCAGGGTGTGAGGATATATAATGGTGGTGGTCGTCCTGCGAAAATGTATACTGGACATCGACGACAGACTTCCCTCTCTTTTACAGAAACATCATCTTATCAAACCAAGTGAAAGGTTCGGCCGTTAAGCAAAATGAACTCCAAGCTTCTCATCCTAGCCCTAGCCTCGCTAGCAGCTACCAGTCCCATCCTCTCTCGCCAGTGTAAGTCATTACCCTAGACACATACTATATACATACTATTCACTATGCTGGACCCCCAACTAACGCTAAATAACACAAACAGCCGACGCCGGCGACGACCTTCGTACGGGCGACTGCCAACCCACGACATTCATCTTTGCTCGCGCCTCTACCGAGCAAGGCCTCCTGGGCGGGTCAACCGGCCCCGGCGTCTGCAGTGGGCTCAAGTCTGCGCGTGACGACGCAGTCGCATGTCAGGGCGTCGGACCCAAATACCGCGCCACGATCGGGGACAATGCGCTGCCAGCAGGGACATCGGACGAGGCGATCGAGGAGGCAAAGGGACTGTTTGAGCTTGCGGCGAGCAAGTGTCCTGAGACGAGGATAGTGGCTGGGGGGTATAGGTATGGTGTTCTTGTTATTTCCTCTCTCTTGACCAATGATTTTCTCCGTCTTCGACTTGGCTGACGAGATGTCTGTTTGCACGTGGAAACAGCCAAGGAACAGCTGTCATGCACGGCGCGATCCCCAAATTGTCAGACGAGGTCAAGAGCCAGATTGATGGCGTTGTGCTGTTTGGCGACACGCGGAATAAGCAGGACGATGGGCGTATCCCTGACTTTTCTCCCGAAAAGGTCAAGATCTATTGTGCGGAGGGCGACCTGGTCTGCGATGGGATGCTCATTGTGGCTCCGCCGCATTTTACTTATATGGCTGATGTGGATGATGCGGTGAAGTTTTTGGGAGAGAAGTTGGAGTAAGGTTTGACATTGTGAGGTGTCACCATGCCGGGTTCTGGCTTGGGCTTCGTTGACCGGGAGATATGATATGTGGGTGCAGGTCGCCTGAATCTAGTTACTTCGGGTGTTCAGGTTTCACCTAGAGTGTGAAGCGAATAGGGAGAAGAAGCTCCTACTGTTGAAAATATATACAACACTATTGATGCGCCGCTCACTCGAGAGAAATGTGATTTATCCCAGGATGTTAAATTTCCTTGTTAGTCATGGAGTGCAATCACGGGTCCCTGCATGACAAGGAGTGAGGTCGACAGCCCAAACCTTCCATCAACCCAAACCTCACTTCTGTCATATCCCGAATGATGGCCGAACCCAACATCCATCGTATCCACCCATCCAGTTTCCTCGGTTGGCTCTGGATGCAATCTTCCGAGCTTAATAACTACGATAGACTGAATCGACTGGCTCAAACGCTCGACCAGCTTGCGAGTGCTGTCCACCAGGCACCTCATCTGTAAGGACTGTGATTACTGAATAGTGGATACCTTCAAAAGCTATGGTATTCAATACTCCAAGATCCCTAACCAAAAAAGAAATACGCTTAAATATCTACACCAAATCGCAGAAAATCAGTCATAATCAAAATATGCACAAGTCATCTCTAGAAACCATGGAATGTGGAACGGTCGTTACTTCCACCACGGCAATCAAAAAAATTATATGAAGTTATGTCTCGCCCCTTGGGGATCGCGGCGTCCTGATAAAAATACAAGGCCTGGATGGCCCAGCCACCGAGCCAGCAAGTCAGGCTCTTAGACATCAGTTTCGCAAACGGCCTATGCACTGGTCAGCTGATATCTCGAACAATTGGTGTCCCGGCTCTTCAGCCGCCAGCGACGATACGTACCTTTCTTCGCCGGGTAAAATCCTCATAGACTCCCAGCCAGAGGTCCCTGTTGCGGCAGTTCTCCGGCTGTTCGGGAACCGCCTGACATGCCGGTTGCTTGTCTGTGATCACATCGGGGCGGGCTTTGATCCAAGGCTATACAATGGAGCGTTAGTAAACGGGTTATTTGATCAAGGAAACCGACAACTCGATCGAGATATGAATGAAAACAAAGTACCAACCTTAGGAACGGGCCAGTCGGAAAAGTGCAAGTACTTGGCCTCCGACAGCACCCTGTCGGGGTCCCACTGCTCCAGCGAATTGCCCAAGTAGGCCGTGTGCGACTCGGACCGAAACTCTCCAGTCAACAAATTGTAAGGGCGGTGCGGGATGATCAAGGCGCTATCTTTGTACAACTCGTTGAAGATCTCCATGTCGTATTCAGACCCACCCGCGTGGCTAATGCTCTCCATGATGCGACCAAATTCAAAATCGGACGGCTCGATTACGAAGAGCTGCGAGCTCATGGTGCGGCCATTAGGGTCCAGCCAGTAGGCTCGTGGCATCGCAACGGGGCATGATGGGAGCATAAAGAGTTCATCCATGGGCTGTCTTGGTAAGTATCTGTCTTCGACTAGTAGGCAGATGATGGCGGGCGGCTTACCTGAAGGATAGTTGAGTCGGAGTCTAAGCCTAAAACTCGATCATACTGAGTTTGGTTGAAAGCGAGGAGCTTGGTGTAGCTCTCAGCCCAGGTCGCTTCTCGCGTGAGTTAGCGTTCATATGTCCCGAAAAAGGTCGCAGAGGGAGATACATACCATCACCCGACGGCCGGCTTTGTACCTGAATTGGCTGAAGTTTCACATTATATTCATCGCGTGCTTTGCGGACAAGTTTGCTCTCGAGTGATGTGTCATCCTCCGCGGTGGAGATGTTGTCGGGGTACATCAACAGGCGATCGGCTTTGCTGTGCATGCTGTGGAGCCTCTCGAAAAGCATGACTGAATTGCAGAGATAATTGTCGTCGGTGACATACTGCACGTAGGCGAAGCGAGACCAGTCCGTTTCTTCATTTCCCGACGGTTCTTCGGCGTGGCCATGTAGCAGGTCGTCGGGAACAAGAGGCTCCAGGACGCTGATGCGAAGTCGCCAGAGCGTGGTGATCACCAGGAGGGCCGCAAGAATGACCGCGAGAGGGCGCAATAACTTAGGTGAAGCCATGGGGGGCAGTTGCCACATTGCAACGGAACTATCCGAATTAAATTACAAAATTGATTTGACAGAATGGACGGCCAGGCAGCTGGACCGTCCCCGCAGTTGCTGGGCAGATAGGTAGGCAGTGACAGGTTAGGGCTGTGTCGACATGGATGGTTATCGCCAACGTGGGATATTTCGATTGACTCCGCCTCACGTCAGTCACTCAAACGCTCTGCAGATGATTAGACCAAGCGATAGCCTGGGCTTCCTCGGTTTATTACAATTCCGATGTTAGGCCCGTTCCTTTCATGGCTAATTTTTTTCCTGTTTTGTCTTAACGTGGGGGCTGGCGCTAAGACCAACGCTAAGCCAACAGGATGCTCCACGCTGCTCCAGCCGAACCAACCATCCAGCAACGGCCCAAATGAATTTGGCTGTCAGTGGTCCAGAGAGAACACCGGCCTTTCCATTCTGGGTTTTCCCAGCACAATCAACAGGGCACATCGGAGGACATCATCAGTATCAATCCGACGCTTAGCAGGTGTTGGATCGTCTAACGCCAATATTGGGGCAACAAGCGCATTAGAGACGCTAAACTCAGGGGCCATCGATATGGGTCTCTCTATCTGCACCAATGGGCAAGGGTAGGCCTGCAGCCCAATTTCCGATCCAATGGCCCCCATGCTCTTTACAGAGCAAGAAATTCCATGTGTTTTCAAGCGAAGGAATACAGGATGAATGAGCCAAGGGAACGAGAACGGGGCGTACGACCCTGGGGTGTTTGACGATGAGAGCTCTGCCATGGCAAGGTTCGGTGTCGGAACATTGGATCCTTTGAGCCCGTCCATCAATAGATATCAAAAAATATCGATCGATCCATTCTCGCTAATTCCGGATTGGCCTGAGCAGCTCAATCACGAAACTGAGGTTGTACCTCGAGGAACACTGGTGGAATGTGGCTTGATGAGTGTATTTGGGGGCAGTTTCTCAATCCATCGTCTGCGCTCGAGGCACTTCTGCGGGCAGTTGTCGAATTGGTGCGTTGGTGAATGGTAGCTTCTCAGGAAGAGGAGTCCTCTCCCCGTACCAGCTCCCATGATAAGAAGCTCGATGAGATATTGCACAAGGGTTTGCAGTCTGCACGGTGCAATAATCTTCTCCTCCAGAAGCTTGTTTCTTTGAGGGGTGTTTATCCATGGGTCTGCCCCCGGTCAACGATTTCTTCATCGCCCTTGTCGAACATGATTTGTGCGCAAAAGCCCCTATTTTGTTTTATCACACCAAAAGAAACCACTAGTACATTGGCAGGTCTTGGAATGGCTCCACTGTTCTAATTACTTAGTAGCTACTCATCAAATGGAGGGGAGGGTGCTTCCATTTGCTTTCCTTGAAAACTAATCCGCGTCCCCAGATTGTGTGAGGATCAGATGCTTTTGCTCCGCTCTGGGGATCTCCATTGACTGTCTTCAGGTAGCGATACCACAGTGCCTCAGTACCTCAATATAGCTACTCTGCTATGCAACACGACTTTCTCTTGGGTGGTCACTTCAGTCTCTGTGCCTAAGCTCCGACACTTTTACCAATATGCTGTCACCGTGGCTAGTACCCTTCCGGTCTGGCGCTACCTCGCTCGTTCTTCTCGGTCTCTGTAACTACACCATGGGTCGCCCTTTTTACATGAATTGGTCTGACAAGACTTACGGACCCGATGGACCTTGGAATGCCGTTACGATCGGGGTCGGGAAGCCAGGACAACAGATCGATCTGTATCCCGGAAGCACGTGGGAGTCCAGAGTTTTCTTGCCGTCCATTTGTTCCAACGATACTATCTCGTCTACTTGTTACGCTAGAGACGCGGGTATTTTTTACCCCGATTCTTCCTCCTCGTTTGCAGGAAACGAATCCATCGCCTTGGGTCCCAATGGGGAGTGGGGCCCCGGTCAGTTTGGGGCCGCCGACGCAGTGGGAACCATCGTGGAGGCTGACCGCGCGCTGATCGAGGTAGATCTCGCAGGGACATTGATACCGGATGTCGATTTCATAACTATTTCGCAGGGGTACCAAATTTACCCGGGAGGAAAGAACTATCCCCTACAAGTGGGTATACTGGCGCTTGGGGCCCCGGACATCAATCAAACATTCAGTCGATACGACTCCGATCCGCTCAATGGCACCTTTATCGCCAGTTATCTCTGGAAATACGCAGATGTCCCGATTTCGTCTTACTCCTGGGGCATGCACATCGGTTCAGCGGCGCACAAGATTCAGGGGTCACTGATTTTGGGCGGATACGACAAAAACCGGGTCATTGGGGATGTCTCTGCGCAGCCCTATTCAGGCCCACACTTCCCCATCGAGCTTTTGGATATCGGAATAGGAGTAGCAGATGGCGAATCGCCCTGGGATGGGCCTGGGAAAAGCAAATTGCTGGCACAGGGCAACTCGTCCCTTTCCTCCGGGATCACCGTCAAGGCGAGCCCTGCTGATCCGTACCTGTATCTTCCCAAGAGTGCGTGCGACGCTCTCGCCAGCGAGCTTCCCGTCACCTACCAACCTGATTACGGTCTGTACTTCTGGAACGAATCCGATCCGCGGTACTCACACATCGTCACCTCCCCCAGCTACCTCGACTTTACCTTCAACAAGGACGGAGTCAACACGGAAAAAATCTCCATCAAGGTCCCGTTCGCCCTGCTCAATCTGACGCTGGAGGCCCCGCTCGTGGAGAAGAGCGTCCGGTACTTCCCATGCATGCGCACCACAGGCACCTACGCTCTCGGCCGGGCCTTTCTTCAGGCGGCCTTCATGGGCGTGAACTACATCGACCAAGACAACGGCAACTGGTTTCTAGCTCAGGCCCCTGGCCCGGGGTACTCGGTTACGCCCCGGACGACCACCATCAAGGCTACTGACTCCACAATCGCCGGCTCTAACAACGGCTGGGTAGAAACCTGGGCTAACTACTGGACCCCGCTCTCCGAATCTGTCAACAAACCCGAGGACGTCAACAGCGGCAGTGACGACAGAAGCGACGACAGAAGCGACGACAGCAGCGATGGCCTGTCGACGGGCGCCAAAGCTGGTATTGGGATCGGCTGCGGGATCGCAGGGTTGGTGATTATCGGCCTCATGGTGTGGGCGTTGGCTCGTCGCCAACGCCGAAAGGCGAGCATTCCCGCGGAGGTCAAATCCGTCAACCTTTCGCATCCCTACCGGCAAGTTGTACCAGCTCAGCTAAGCGCGCATACGCCCATTTATGAGCTTGCAAGTTCATCAAAGGAGGAACCGTATGAGATGCGGTAGGACGATTGAGTTGATCTAGGCCATGAACAGGGCATGAAATTTCTCGACCAGTTGCATGCTTTTTGATACTTTTTTTCCGCCGAAATTCATATAACCCTAATTTTTCATATCGTGTTTTCCGCGTCGAGTCTTGTTGTGTCCACGTGTGTACGCTATATGCTGTTCCTACGTCGTGTTTCGAGCTAGCACTTTTCTTGTTTTATGCATACGCAAACGGGGTCTGAATGTTCTCTATGTGTATTTGATAGCGTGTCATTGTTTTTTATTTTCTCAATTCCCCAGCTCACGAAATGTGGCAGAAAATCAGCTCCCCGTCTGGACCAAAGCTGAAGAAACAGTAACCGTGACTTAACCGTCAATCTGTATACACCCGTTGAAGGAACTTTTCCAGTGAACCAAACTGGGGGTGCAATCTTCTTTATCACCGTGGGCCCGCCAACAAACCCACCAGAATCAACATCACAGTTCTGATCCTTTAATCGCTGACGGTCAATATGAGACTTGGGGTTCTTGTTGTTCCTGCTCAAAGGACGTCTAGTGCTGAGGTGGGCGCCTTGACTAAGTGGTGACTATGTTTAACTGCGGTGTGTTGTTATGTTTAGCATGAGGCGCCAAGTACGGCACATGGAGAAGATTGATCTGAGCTCCGCATAAACCCAGGCGGCATGATGATCTAGTGGGAAACCGAATGACAGCCTCGGACTTACTCTTTCAATCGATGCCGTGATCTTCGAGCTCGTATGTGTGAGATACGAGGAGTTCTCTGAACCTAATGTCCAGAGTCTTGTTCTAGGTGACCGTGAGCTCGTGTCCAAAATAGGGACCATCCGCCAAGCCGCCTATTTAAGCATAGTTGGTGCCTCCAGCTCCAATAGGCCGGCGATGCCGAAGTGGCTGCTTCCAACCACCAGTGGTGCGAACTTCGATATTAATCATATATTAATTACTCCAAGGATGTTATACGGCCTTTCAAAATGACGATATGCTATTTTCCGATGTGTCGGAGAAGTATTGGACCATGGTTCGTTCGCCACATGCTCGTTTCCTCACCTCTCAGCAATGATCATCGCTCCACATACCTCGAGTTTCCTTACTCGGATCTAGCCAGGCAGAAGCATCCCATTACGAAACTCAAACCACCCCATCCATTCATTTCAGCAGTCGATCTTGACTAGTGAGCAACCTACGTTTCTATCCTGGGAACCCCGTATGAAACTCCCCCACATCAACCGACCAACTGGCGGTCTGCATGTCCACGCCCTGGAATGCAGATCTCGTATTTCCGTCTACACCAATGCAAGCATGAACCACAACCACGATCTCCAGACTCAGCTCCCAAGTCCATCACCCCTTGCCTCGGATCTTGCAGCCCCAAACGGATACGAGATGGTGATGTCCTGCAACAAATTACCCAGCTGAACAGCACTATTGGATAGCTGCTCCCTTTGCCACGACATCGCATCGTATCCTGGGTATGAGTGAGGGAGAGCCCTTCGCCACAAACATGACTCGAAAGGCCATCTCAAAAGCTATATAAACCCTCTTGGACCCCGTGGAATAGACATCTATCATCAGCATCCAACTCCATCAAACAAGCAATCCACAACAAGCCTACAAAGCCTTATTTACAAACCTCGCTTTTCTCGCTTCAAATCAGTCAAAATGCAGTTCTTCAAGACCGCCGTTTTCTTCTCTCTCGTGGCCGTTGGCCTCGCCGCCGCCTCCGAAGGCGACGCTGGAATGATGCAGAAGCGCGGATTCGGCTGCCCCGATGATGGACCTTGCAACACCCACGTGAGTACTTCATTTCCCGCCTTTATTGGAGACTAGACTGACACGACGGATTTACAGTGCAAGGATATCGGCCGTAACGGTGGCTACTGCGCTGGTTTCCTCCAGCGGTAAGTGTCCTTGTATTCTGGGTTATAGTGAGCAAAGAGACTAACCGATGGCGGCAGGGTGTGCACTTGCAACGAGAAGAAGTAAATGGAATACCCTATTCAGACGAGAGTTGAGAGTGGGTGGTGGTGGTTGATTGGCTCGGAGCCTGTCTGTTGAGAACTGGACTGTTGGGTTCGGTAGTATAGGACGTGTCGACACATTGTTCGTTCATTCGTTTATACAATAGTTTGCCATTGCTCCTTCCATCCAGTGTAGTATTTGGTCTTCAAATTGCTCACGGGTGGAGGGAATATCATCTTTGAAATTTGCTATCCAGAACACAGTAGTATTTAAATTCAGTTATACTTCCGTACTCTTGCGACCTGATTCCCGGATGATAGATCTAGCAGCCGTGAGTCCTAATTGGACAGGTGATAGGGCTCCGGTTCTCAGCCTTGCTCTATGCCCCTCCTCGTTCCCCTCTTTCTGTCTACCACAGCATCATTGCACACTCTCCACTAGAGTTACATGTACACATGAGATGATACGGCATTCTCACGATTGACCTATCTAGTGCCCGCTGTCTCCATCCTGTTCCATACATTATTCTTCATTTCAAAACGATGACCAACGCATCCGAAACAAGTGCTGAGCACTTCGTAAACAAGTAAGTACCTGAGATGCCTCTGCGAAATGGTTATCTGACCACTTTACTCTCTAGCATTCTTCCGCTATATCAGGGCCCTTCCGTCAAACTTCGAATCCAGCCTACCAACAAGGAATATACAATTTCCAGGAGCCTTCTCTGCGCGGAATCGCCAGTCTTCTCAAGAATGTTCAACGGAGAATTTCTAGAGTCACAGCAGCAGACAGCCACTCTAGAAGAGACCTACGACGATGTCTCAGTGCGTAGCCTTGAAGCACTCTTTCAATGGCTATACCAGCGCACCGTCAGGTTTGAGATAAAAGACCCGGGAGAGCATATTTCGGCCGCCATGGAGCTCGCAAGGCTTGCAGACACGTACGAGATCAATGGATTAAAAACTACAGTGGCCCAAGACATCAGGAACGTCATAAAACACAACCCTCATCCAATGACCAGAGAGTATTGTCGACATGTTGATAACAACACTTATTATCTCACACATGATCATATTGAATCAGCGACCTTTTTGCCTCGAGGGCATCCAGTGCGAAGTGTTCTGGCTGCAGCATCTGTTGAAGGCTTTCTTCGAGACAAAGATCACAAGTTCTGCGAAGAGGCTCAGGCCTACCCTTCTTTCGGAGCTGACCTTCTCCAAGAGACAAGGCTTGCATTAAATAAGGTGGAGCCCCGTGGGACTGTCACCTTTGAAGATCCTATCAGCGGAGAAAGATCATACCTAAGATAGGACGTATACTGAGAGTTAGCCGATTGCATGAATATATTCTTTTCTCATGGAAGTGCTCGTGTATACAAGACCAGTAACATTGACATCTAAGAAACGTAGCTCCTGGCAAAGTCAAGCTGTCGAAAACCCAAGGTTGGTAAGATATGCCGAGGACCTGCCATCGTACTGTAGACCAGATTCTTCCTGTATTAAAGTAGTCCATCATGGCGTCGAGAATATACACCTTCTTTGGTGGTGTTATAAAGATTGAACCCGGACTCTTCACTTCCCTGGCAATCGCACCTACTAAAGACATGTCTCTTGAGTTTTATCCCGTGACCACAGACGCATATTAGACGTTTGGCTATATGTTACGCATATTTTCTAAACAGGTAGAATCTTTGCAATCAGAGTATGTACAATAGGAGTAGATAGATAGATAGGTAAGTACTAAGTATACTCCACAATCAGACACCACATTAATCAATCTCTACCTCTTTTTAAAGGCAGAATAACCTAGTAGACATAATTTTCAATCCAAAGGTAGGTATATTCTACACCCACCTCCGCCTTATCAAGTCCACAAATACTTCGTATTTAGTATCTACCCACCTACCTACCTACCTAATTGAATAGTGCAAAATCGTATACAACCTTGTCAGAGTAGTCCCCCCTGCCCCACAAAACTGATATATATTGACTCCGCAAAATACGGAGCAGGTGGATGTCTATGCCGTGATAGGCGCGTTTCATGTTAGCTGATGCTAATCGCTTCGTATAGAGTACAGTTACGAAGATGATTGGTTGGTTGGGAAGACCGGTGGATGATCTCCCTCTCAGAGCTTCGTCCCTTCGCCTCTCTGCCTGGTCTAGATGATTGTGTTTTCTTGGTCTGGTTTTGTCTAATTGGTGTTTTGGGGAGTTTGTTTAGTCCAATATAGCAAGGTGGGTAGTTGGTATATAGTATCAGCCTGCGTATATCTATAAATCTAAACATCAACTAGTAAATGAATAGCTGTTTACTATATTTAGATGAATGAATGGATGGGAAAAAATCTCATGTCATCATTATCACCGTTCGTAACCCCAGCGCTTTTATGTACATTATTATTGTCTCAACCCCATGACGTGCACGAAAAAAAAATAAAAATGAAAATGAAAGTAAAAAAGCGAGATAGAGAAAGTCAGAAGAAAGAGAAGAAGAAGAGAAGCAAAGAAGTCAAAGAGACAATAGAAGAATCAATAAAATAATCATGAATACATCGTCTCATCACCCCCATAAGCATACCCAATCTCAACCTTCGACCCCACAACACTACTCAAACAATCCTCCAGCTCGAAATCCTCCATAACTGCACCGAACCCATAGCACCGCACCTTGGTGCTGAGCGTTTCGACAACGATCTTGATATCGTCGCGGGTCAGCCGGTGGTACAGCTCGTGGTTCTTGAGACACTGGAGCGCCATGATCGGCGTGATCTGCCCCTCCACGACGAGCTGGCGGCTGAGGTTGAGGAGCGTTGCGAGGTTGACGTGGGGGAGGTCGTAGGTCTTGTGCGGGTAGGCCTGTTCGGGCGTTGTGTTGCTGATGTAGCTGGGGGGTGGGCATGTGGCCATCAATGCGTGCCCTGAGAATGGCATGTCTTCGTCGTCGGCTTCTGTTACGGATCGTCGGCAGAGGTAATCTGTGTGTTCGCGACACGGAGATTCCAGGCTGGGGTGTAGAGGTTAGCAGCATGCATGAGGGGTTGTCCCGTAGCCCCGAGGGGAGGGAAAGGGAGGATCCCTACGTCAAGACGAAATCGACTTGGAGCTGGTTGTCCAGCTCGAAGATCCCGTCGGGATTAGCCGGTGTGCGGCTTTTCGGCGCTATCCGGTCGAGCGTGGCTAGGGCGTCGCAGGGTGCTGCGTTGTACGCTTGAACGCCGGGGATCGGGTTCTGCGTCGGTGACACTTCCACATGTTCCGGTCCGATTGCGTTCGTGTGCGGACTGACGCTCGACGACATGGAGACGGTGGTCGGCGGGGTCGTGTACAAGTTGTCGTTCGATAAGGGCGCGGCAGACGGCTGCGACGTGATGCTGCCGCTGAACGGACTGGAGTTGAAGACGGGGGTCGTATTTCGCGGGCGTTCGGCCTTGCGGCGTTCCAGCTCGGCCTCGTAGTGGACGCCCTGGGCGACGAGCATCTCCTTCAGGATGCTGTTCTCGTCGGACAAGGACTGCACCATCTCACGGTGCTGGTGAACCGTGAGGTTGGCGGCGGAGATCTCGTGGGTGTAGGCCTCCCGCAAGCGGGATACCTCGGTCTCTAGCGATCGGATGTACTGTTCCTTGCGTTCGCGGTGGGTCCTGCGGTCGCCCCCCGTTGGCGTCTGCCCTCGTGCACGCACCTGTCGCAAGGGACGGGTCACCTACCTCTGCGCCTGACGATTCAGCTCTTGCCGCCGGGTCAAAGCGGGTCGACTATCGGGTTTGGGACCCCGTCGCTTGGCCGGTTGACCCTCTATCGGGGGTACGTTAGCATGTTGCAAATATGAACGGTGAAAGTCTCAGATCACCCACCTCGATTGTTTTTCTTCACCCCGTTGTTGCCGCTGGCACCCCCACCCCCACCACCGAAAAATTTGAAGAACTCCGCTCCCAAGGAATTCGTTCGCGTGCTCCCTTGGGATATCTGCCCTGCAAATTGGTCAGCACGGGGACGGATAGGTATGTGCAGTAAAAACATGTGTAAGACAAGTGAGGAATCGTGGATGCAATCAACTTGCTCTCCCATCCATCTCCGGCGGCGTGTTATCCTCAGAATTGCTGGATGATTGTGCCCATGTCACAATTAGAACAGCCGCTCAACCACCCACGGTCCCTCGAACCGGGCGTTTGCACCAATCCAGATACCAATATCCATATTTCACATTGTTGAGCGGCCCGCAAGTCTACCATTCTTAAACCCCGAAGACTCGCAAGTAGAAGGATAGCACCATAGACACCAACCGGGATCTCAACTCACCATTCATATCCACTTGTTGGGGAATGCTCTGTCGGTTCGCAACGTCGTGTTCCATGGGCATGACAACCCCGTTCATCGTCGCCATGATCGTCTATGGCGGGCCAAAGTAGTCAACCCTCGGTAGTTGTAGTATTGCGACCGGTGGATATCGAGGAAGGAGGGATCGAAGATGCAACGCAAAGGCAGCGGACGAAGGCGGTAGACTTATTTACGTCCAGGTCATCGACGTTCAACTACCTAGACCACGGTCGGGGCGAGCGAGGAATTGACTGACTCGGTCGCAGGCGAGTAGAGTGGATTCGATTCGTCGTGCGCACGCGGTTTTGGCCGTTGAAGGGACGGGACCCGTCGAGTTAGACCGATATACTACCTTTCTAACTCACGTACCGGCTGGGCGGATCGGTCTCCCCGATGGTTCGTTCCCAATGAGGAATGGAGCTGCAGGTGAACACGAACTCTGGATTAGAGGGAAACGGTGTGATGTGGTGGAAATCGTGAGAGTCTGTAGGTGATGGGAGTGGTAGAACTGGGATGGGTGAGGTGATGGATAGAAGTAAGTAGGAGAAGGAGGGAGAGAAGGAGAAAGGAATGTTGGAGAATAGCGAGAGGGGGGGAAGATCCAGGACGGTGTGTTGGGACAAGAACAGTCAACCTAGTCCAGTCGTCGCTGTTATAATAATCAGTGTAGGAGGAGTACTCCGTAGAACTAAGTGGATCGATCGATGCCGGTCTAATTCGGGTCCATTATAATATAAATAAATAGAGACCATATTATATTTTATTTTAGAATATAATATCAAGACAAAAGAAAACCTGATAGATAAAACAAGATAGGTAAATCTAGACACCAACAGATCGAGAATACGGAGTCCAATCCGCACATCCACTCCCACATGCACACGCACTATCCACCTCCGATGAAGAAGACAACAAACCATCTCTTGTTCCTGTTCCTGTTCCTGTTCCTGAACGGACCAGCTGGGGGTTTGTGCCAAGGCGCTTTAACGACGAATAAGGCCGAACCCCGTCCCGCGTTGAATAACCATTGTTTCTTGCTGGATGGGGTCTATAAATCAGTCAAGAATCATGATCACTGATCAAACTAAAAAAATCCCAAGGCATCCAGAATCGAGAATGAGAATGAAGTATCAGAATCAAATCAGCAGACAGTCACGACACATCGAATCCGTCTTTATTCGCCAGTTGCTCCGACAGGGTGCAATGATTGGCGCTGCTCATTCCCAGCCGCAAAAGCAAAGAATGCATCCGCCCGTGTGGCCATCCACTCGCCTCCCTTTTCTTTCTCCCCTTCTCGGCTGCTGATTTTAATATATCTGTAATAATAATCAAAAATCAAAGAATCTTCTTGATGGTTGACAGTGGGTATCGTCTGGTCCAGGACAGGTCGAGGGGCTTGTAGATTTTTTTGGGCGGACTCCTGGAGCAGATGAGCGACAGGAAAGTCGGAAATTTCTAGATTCTGTCCTTTTAATTTATCGACATGTTGAATCGTCACCTGTGATTCGATTTCCCATTCCGATCGAGTGGTGATGGCTGAAACTAGGCTGAGGATCGCAATCCTCACGCCCAGCGATGGTCCCAGACCGGGTGAGATCGACGCACCGTTGACCCTGTCCGTGGTGGCTGCGAGGCTGGTCACTGGTCCAGTGGTCATCGCGGAGACACAGCGGGATAGGACAGCACTTGACATCTCAGACTTGGTCATTCCGAGTAGTTTCTTGAAGGATTCAGCAGTGTAACGTGAAGAATCCAGGATCGTCCCCGATGGGACTCAAGGTTGACACAAGAAGTATCCCCGTTTCCTAAAAAAGCACATCGGTACGATTGGACTGGTCAATCTGGTGGACGCGGACCACACCCTCTTGTCGTGGATGTTTCGATGGAACGAGACCGAGACCCATCACGCCGCCGGTCGGGCCATTGAACACTCAGCGGGGAGGTCGCTAGAATCACCCAGGATGGGGCTAGTTCGACACGGTCATCGGTAGTGGCTCTGATCCACCAACGCTCGATGGGGCATACCCTGGGTCGGTCCAGGCTGGCTGGCTGGCTGAAAACTATAGTATAATGCCAGATATAGACATGGACGAGGAATCATCCGTATTACCCTTCCGGTCGTAGCTTCGTCTCCCACTGCACTCACAGAGATACCCTTTCGCTGTCCCTTGAAGGAGAGGTACGGTTGGCAGTACCACCACGCGCAAACCATGCACCGGCGTCCGACGTGATACAGAGCACAACCTCTTTCCTTTCATCTGCCGAGCTCCAGGGACGACATTCTGGCCAGTAATCGTGTTCCGATCGTATCGTCGTCCAACATCAAGGGGCACGAAACCCCTGTCGCATCGGGCCAGGGATTAAATTGGGATCCGTCGCTGGTTCTCCGGCAGGACAGTGTAACAAAGGGCCATTCCGCCCGTTCATTTCCCTCCCACACCACTAACGTGGGAATGACGTCGCGCTCGACACATTAAATTCCATTTCATCCCACAAGGGGCTCATTGTTGACTGGTCGATTGATACTCAACTTGATTGGTTCAAAACCGATGTCACTCGACTGGTCAGAGTGGATCATTGCCAGAACATACTTAGGAGGATACGAAATCGTCCTGGCCCATACTTCACGTCGACTCCCTTCCCAAACACACAACATGGTGGGGACTGGGGAGAAAGGAGAAGGACGACAGGGATGGGGCGCCACGATCCCGTTGGAATGTGAATGTGACTTTGTCTTCCTGCCCAGCCAGCCAGAACCACGATCACATCCGAGACATATTTCAAGATTCGAGGTGATCGGATCATCCAGGAAGAAGTCCAAACGATGGATGAGCTGGACTGATTGGCTGCCTTGAAGCCTTCCGATGAACTATTGAGGCCGCGATCCACCGCCTAAGGCAGCCTCGGGCTCCACCTTTACCCGATTGGGCGATCCCATGACTCGCTGCCATCCACGTCGTTTGTCTGGTTTGCATTCTTTCTCTTCACCATCATCTCCATCATATGGTATCACACCACAGCATGATCGCCCGGTAATGCACGTCACTCCGCTTCCCCCCATGAACGCTTAATCGATCCCGGATGGATCCTTTCTCCGAGGTGCTCGTCCACATCTCCGCTCCCAGCGGAGTCGCCGACGATGCTCGCTATCGCGCCCAAGTCGACGCCATCCTCGGTTTTCAGTGCGTCTCACGTCAGGCCGTCATCAACTCCGCAGGTTCAAACGAGGATACCCAGGACAACGGTGATCAGAGGAATCCTCATCCCGGGATCCAGTCCCCAGAGCACCATGCAGCGGACTCTCTCAACAGCAGTCTAGTCAGCGTTATCCCGGACTCGCAGCCATCACAGGGCCCGCCTCTGAAACGTCCCCGGATACATCCACCATCACCATCACCAGCCTCACTCCCAGGAGGAGCCCCAGGAAACCCAGGGAACCCAGGAGACCCCGAAGAAACAGGGAACCCCCCACAACCAAGCACCAGCTCACCCCGGACCCATCACCGACAACAATCACCACCACCACCACCATCCACACAAAAACAAGAAACAGAAATAACCCTCCCCCTCCAAATCCACCCCCCAAACCCACCCCCCTCAACATCCCCCTTCACAACACACATCACCCCAACCCTATCAATGCTCATCACGCGCCTCAAATCCCCCCGCACCTACACCCCCATTCACCAAACGCGCGCCCTCACCAACCTCGAACGCGGGCACTGGACAGTTCCTATCAATCTCATCACTACTACCACCACCACTCCCCCCTCACCCTCACCAAACCCGGAGAATAAACCCCAGGATTTATCCCCCAACACATGGCCTACACCCCTCTTCACCCGCTTCTGGACCTTCCTCTCGGATTTCATCTGTGAAGGGCGTGCTGGATGGGGCGTGTGGTGTTCTCTTGAAGCTGACACCACCACCACCACCAACAAAAACAGTAACAATGAAGGCCAAGATCCGCATCCTCAACAATCCCCCAAAGAAGAAGAATCAAAAGAAGAACACAAACTAACCCATCCCACCCAACCCACAACCCTAAAGATCTACGCATGGGGCGAAACCGCCGAACACATCTACCTCCTGCTCTTCTTAGCGAGTGAGCGCCGTATTCGCCGCATGGGTGCGCGCTGGCGCGATAGTCGGGATGAGGTTGTTATTGTTATGTAGCCTTGTTTAACTATACATGTAGTATTTGGTTTTGTACATATGTGTATACTTGAGATCATCTACTGGATGAATGAATGAATGAATGATGAATGATGGTTGATGAATAATGAAGGAAACTACAACGGAGAATGAATAGAAGTATCAAGTATGATTTGCACTTTCCATTGGAGAAATGAACTTTAATACAGCCTGGCAATGTGTGGATTGGATCTACGCCAAAAGGGACAGCGCCGGTTGATCGAAAAAAGAAAAAAAAAAAAATAGAGAGGTAAAGAATACATGTGAGCAGTCAGTTTGTGTAGTAGGAGTACAGAGTACATGAGAACGACCTGAGATGAGAACAAAAAAAAGAAAAAAAGAAAATTGATGTAATGATTAGAACAAGAGTGACGTGTTGTACGGCTCAGATAAACACCACGCCTCGAGATGAGATGGAAAGAGAAAGTTAAAAAAAAAAAAAAGGAAAAGAAAGCAAATTTTGCCAACGATGCAATGCCTAAGTCGAGAAAAGGTTGTGCCAATTCAAAAGATTTGAGAGCCGGTCTCCCAGCAGCAGATGAAATCCAGGTGAAGACTAATAGTTCAATTCACCACTCCCCGCTCCCCCAACCGCATCGAGATCCTCGTAGCTTTTAAGGCTGCGGCCTTGCACCGCTTCGCGAGGTCCCATGCCCTGCTGGGCACCGCCTGCCCCCATGGCATCCGGGAAGCCACCCGCAGCCACCATCGCAGCTGCCGGGTGTCCGGGAGGGATGTATGGAGCAGTAGGGTTGGGCGGGAGACGACCCGCACCGCCGTACATGTGACCCATGCCGCGGACCGGACTCAAACGACCACTGCCGGCGCCGGAACGGTGGCCGCGTCGGTCATAAGGGCCCATCCGCGTATGACGACCGCCTCCGCGGCGCATAACGCCCGGTTGGTGAAGGCCAGGGTGGTCACCGCCGACCATCCCGTTCGAGCCCCAGGGCTGGCCTCCAACTCCAATGAGACTAGGGAATCCAGCCCCAGGCATACCTTGCATCCCGGGTGCAACCCCAGGACCCCCGCTGAGGTACGGCGGCATGGACGACAAGCTAAACCCGCGAGGGGTGCCGGTTTGATTGTGGCCGGTGTGGAGGGGGAAATGACCGTTGCTGTTCGCGTCCGACCGCGAGGGTGCAATACGGGCGGGGTCGAGAACGTAGGCATTCACCAGGGTCAACTGTAAGGCAGTCAGCAAGGGCTCTCTGATCACGGACATAGATCGAATCGACTTACATCACTTTTAATGGTGTTATACCACTCCGCGTGCCGCTTCTCCACGTGCTTCTCCCAAAAGTGCTCAGCCTTGAACAGTTTGTTGCACTCGGGCACCTTGCAGCGGAACTTCGAATCATCCTCTTGCTTGACGAATTTGGCCAACTCCTCCTGGAGTGCTTCCTCCACGGGCTTGCCGCCGAGTTTGCGAATATCCACGTTCTCCGGCTCGAGGATCTGCAAAAGCTTGTCTTCGAATGTCCGCACCCAGTTAAACGCACGCTGAAGCTGCTGCTCCGTCTTGGAGCTGAATTTCTGGGACTTCTTCTCCTCCGCGGGCGCTGGCGGTTCCTCCCCGTCCTCACTGGGCTCCTTCTTCTTGACGGGGAATGACTCGCCAAGAGCACTGGCCCGGGCCACGGCTTTCGATTGGGTAGTGAGCCCAGCGCGCGGGCGACGCAGATGACCACCGGGGCATTTACGAGTCAGCTCGTGAACGGAGTCGCTCTCGAAGACGCAGAAGAAGCAGAAATTGTAGACTCGGCGAAGATATTCTACCAGGAGGTCCAACTTCTTCTTTTTAGCCAAAAGCTCTTCATCGTCAACGTCGTCATCCTCCCATCCTTCCTGTTCTTCGCCTTCTTCGGCCTCACCCTCGTCCATGTCATCCGCGTCAAAGTCCGACTTCCGTTTCTTGACACTGACAGGCCCAGTCACGGGGGGTTGCAGCCACCCCTTCCCGCGCAACTCCTCGACGCGCTCGTCGATCTTAGTCGTACCTTCGGCGTTCCACATCTCGGCATCCAGCGTCGAGGCCAAACGCCGTGCCAGCTCGAGGTCCCGTCCGATACGTTCCGGTGCCGAGAAGAGGTCCCAAAGGGCCTTTTTGCGCGGCTGCGACGGGGGCACATGGACACCCACATGGCAAACAAAATCCCCATGGACGGGATCGTGGATGGTCTTGTCGTTGATCGCTTCCAGTGCCTTGTCAGCAACGCTGGCATTTCCAGAACCCTGAGTCACGTCGTGCTCCATCTCCTCGCCCTCCTCTTCCCGGCCATCGCCCCGTTCGACGACTGGAGCATCTGCGGCGGGGTGGAGCATGATCCAACCCATGCGATGATATTTCTTGGAGGGATTCGGGTCGCTGAGGCTCAACCACTTGAATCCGCCATCCTGCTCGCCGAGATGTTCTTTACAGAAGTCTTCAATCTTGTCGCGGCTGACATTGGGTGCTAAAGTCTTTATGAGAAGGGCGGGCTGAGACAAGGCTTCGTCGCGCAGCTCGCCACCCCGGGCCGGAAGCAAGTCCAAAACACCCAGGGTCTCGCCGACTGCGGTTGTCTCGCCTTCTTCCTTCTCGATCACGCCGCCCGCACCGTCGCTTTCGTTTTTGTAGATACCTTCCAAAGTGAACTCGTCGAACAAGCCACTCTCCAGGTCGCGCTCCCACTGCTGATAAGCACCAACGCGGAAGTCCATCGTGCGCCGGCGAAGAGGCTCCCTCACCTCGGGAACGTACCGTTCTTTGAACCACTCCTCGGTCCGATGGTGGTGCACAAACGTCCTCGCCATCTTAACCTGCAGGTCCACCTTGTACTTGTCGTAAGCGGCCTGTATCTGGGCGCGTTCCCTTTCTCGATCCTCACGCGACTCGCGTTCACCCTTGACGCGATCTGATGGACGACGCCCGCCATGTTTTGCCCGTTCCTTTTCTTCCTTGATCGATTGTTCCGCTCTCCACCACTCGGCGAACCAATTGAATCCAACTTGGAATTCCAGGCCCAACGGGTTGGGAAGGGGGTTCGTGGGAATCGGCCGCCTGCCCGAGTCTTGGCCAGGAACGTATCGGTCGATATTAGACACAGTCGGAGAAGGGGCACGGCGACGATCTTCGCGCTCTCGCAGAGCGGTCTCGCGAGATGCGGCGTAATAATCATCGCGGTTTCCACGGCGGTCAGAAGGTTCGTAACGGTCGATCATAACGGGTGAGCGAGAACGGGGACGGCCTCGGCGACGGTCTTGCGAGACTACAGATTCCACAGTTTAGCGACCGCGACTTTCACCCATAACGTCCCGAGAAACCCGACGAGTGGTAACCTACCAGGCGACCGACGTCTGTACGAGTCCACGGGAGCTCTAGCCACGTAGGAGTCCGCCTCGCGGCTCCTGCCCGGAGACCCATAACTCTCATAGGAATCCATGTTGCGGAACCAGAATCACGACAGCAATCAACGGGTATGGGTTCTTGGTCCCAGCTTGGGCTCGAAACGGTGAGACTGGAAGAGTCGCGTCGAAGCGGAACGGATATGTGGAGCAGGTAGATACCGGCGACGCAAGCTAAGAACCGAAATCACCAACATTAGAGCAAATCATATTATGTCAGGGGCAGGGCATCTTGGAGGTTGACGAAGGGCAATGAAGGACGGAATTTGATGAACGAAGATGGAAGAAGGTCGGCGCCTGGAAGAAGGCAAAAGAGAGACAAGGCATGTTGGATAGAGAATGACAAGAATGAGTCGGTTGATCAAAGGAAAATAAAAGACGCACGCTCACGCGAGCAGAGGAGAGAAGAGATAGTAGAAGGAAGGTGTGAAAAAAGAAAAGAGGGAGAAAGCGTTGATGTATGTAAGACGAGACAATAGCACGAGGCGTCTCGAGACTCGATGGTGGCGCGACAATGCAATTGACAGACAACGAGAAGTGGGATGAAGAGCAGAAACAAGAGAGCGCAAGCTTTCAGGTTCGGTTTTGATAGGAATAGAATCTTCAGAGACGAAGAGATTGAAAGAACCAGGTAAAAGAAATGAGCAGGGAAAGGGGGCAGGGGAATATGAGAGGCGGAAGGATGGGGGGAAAGTTCAAAGAGAGAAAGGACAGCAAGGCAGGCGACCTACAAGAAGCCTTTTAAGTAAAAAGTGATATTGGTGTGTGATTCAGGCCTGGCAGCGCATCCAATCCGATAGCCTCCAGAAGGAAGAGAGGAAAAACGCGCCTTGGATAAGGAAGGCCAGGAGCAAGGTTGCGATACAAAGAGAGGGAAGAGAGAAGAAAAGAAGAAGAGAAGAAGAGGATGGAGAGAGTTGAGCTGGAGATGGCCGGGATAGGTGGAGCCGCCACTAGGCTGGATCGGGTTAGCGCCTGCATCGGCGCGCGATGCTGACTCAGGCGCGTCTGTTTGCAACTACCAACTACAGGATACGAGATGAGAGCATCGAGCAAAAGTACGTCCTGATATTTATACATAACTAACAGGGGAATCATCCGTTGGAAATCACACATGGAGAGAAGGAAATAAGAGGGGGAGAAGAAGACGAGGAAAAATAAAAGAGGTGAAAGGAAACCAAAGGAAATTGCTCATCCTCAACACGGGATCACAAGATCCTCGCCCGACCACGTAAGTTTCAAACGCAAGCCCAGAGTCGTTGTCCAGACCATCAGGAGAAACGCCGAGGGCACTCATAGTCCGAGGTCCCAAGGTGTACCAGGGGAAGGATACCCTGGTTCCAAACCCAGGGTTCAAGGGCCAGAGGCATGAGCTCAGCAAGCCAGCCCGACCAACTTACTAGAGGGACATAGGGAGAGACCGGAACCCCCCCGAGACTTTGGCTGGAAGGCATCTCAAGGCATAAGTGGACCGCCCCAAACACCGTAGGCCCAAATCCCAAGCTCCGTACGCTCAGATCCGAGTGCGGAAGGATTTTACCACTGACGGGGGCCCCTGTCTAGACCGGGTCCACCATCCCAAACAAAAGGAGCAACGAGATCAAATCATAGAGAAGGGGTCGATATTGAACAAGAGTCATGCGGTCTCCATGGCAGCGCCAGCCACTGTAAATCAGGCTTGTGCCATAGTGACCGGTATGAGTGATACAACGGTCCATGGATGAAGGCCGATAGGTGGGAGTTCGTTGGTATGAAGCAGGATTCTACCGAGGGCAGGAAATGTTCAAGGAGCTCCCATCGACGGCACCGTCCGGGCGGCATGGCGTACCGTGGGGGCAAGGCTTTCAAGTGAACACGCAATCAGGACAGTCATTGTAGGACCCCCAATTTCAACAACATAGACATCAGAAGGAGAAACCAAAGGAAAACTTCGTACCAGCATAACCGTATAGACAGACATAAATGCAAGAGGCGCAGAAAAACGTAAGCGTGCGACAACACAAAGAACAAGAACAAAGCCGTCGTAGATCCATACCACACATCGCTTGCTCCAGAATAAGAAAAACACGGGTTTGAGAAAGCACAAAAAGGGGAATTCCAACATCGCGTCGATCCGTAAAAACCATCATCAATAGATACGAAGAAAAAGAAGACAAGAGGGAACAGAAACCAAAGATAACCAAAAAGAAAAAAAAAAGGGTAAAGGCAACGCGGACGAGTAACCCTCACGATAAAGATACGGAACGGAAAAGAGAAACTGCTCAACTCTCCTCGTCGGAGGCCTCTGCAGACTCCTCGCTGTCCTCCGCCTTGCCAGTCTTGGTCTTCTTCACGGGCGTGGCGTTTTCATCATTGAGATGACTTGACTTGCGCTTCTGCGCCGAGGGAGGGTTCTCCCCAGACCCCTTGGTCGCGCCCACGTCCACGTTCTCTTGGTCCATGGATTGACCGCCCTTTTTCTCCAGGGCGGCCACTTCATCGGCCGTCAGGAATCGACCACCGGGGCCACGCGGTCGCCGCATCGCGTGATTGTGACGCGACTCGTGCAGGTATGGCTTACGGCCCTTGGACGTCAGTCTCAACTGCTCTTCCAGTTTCTGTCGCGCAACACGTCTCTTTAAGATGCGGTGGAATTGCTTAGCGTTGACGTAAAGCGGCGATTCCTCTGCGGCGCCCGCGACCAACTCCGGAGAAGGCTGACTTTGCTGGACCGGGGCCGGGGGCGGGGGCCCCATGGCGGGCGGCCCGGAAGGCCGAGTCACGTGGGCCATCACCGGCTGGGAATTCGGCACGTGTGGGCTGCCAACGTGGCTCATGCGACGCTGCTGCAATTGGGCGCCCTGGCCCATCGGTACCTGAGAACCCATCGGGGGCATCTGACCAGGCATTGGAGGGGACCGAGGGTTGCGGTCCTTGACCGGAACACCTCCCATGCGGGGAGATCCCCTCGGTCCTTGTGGAACCTGCCCAGTCATGGAGTCTTGGTGGAGCGGGTAAAACTGGCCCGAGGCGGCAGCGGTCGCCATGGCAGCGGCTTGCGTCGGCGAGATGCCATACTGTTGGGGGATGGCGGCGGCGACGCCGTACGACTGAGGGAAGTTCATCTGCGGATGTACCGCGCCGGGCGCATTTTGCGGGGGCTGATAATGCGACTGCGACGGAACAATGGGGGATGTCTGATGCGTCGGGTGGGCGGGTTGCATATGAGCTTGCGGATTTGTGGGAGAAGCCATCGATCCGACGGCTGAGCCTGGATTCTGCGGTCCGGCCTGGTATGGGGCGGCAATGTGAGAGGGGCCGTGGGGGTGCTGGCCATGAGGCTGTTGGTATTGCGGGGGGTACTCCATTCTGATGTCGCGGTGGTCCTTGCCAGCACGCGTTCAGTACACAAAGTTGATTGGATAAGGTCGGCGAACTGGAATGTGAAGATCAGAACCAATGGCGATGGCGGGAAGAGCAACTGTCTGGTTGGTAGTAGTGATTGACAGTAGGCCAGGAAACGGTCAATGGAAATGATAGGGCGTGGAAGCGCTTTGCCTTGAGACGATCACGGTTGCGCGCAAACCAGCAGACGACCGCAAAGATCGTTAAGGGGCTGACGCCGATGATTCGACGACTTGAATGCGAAAGGCTGCAGGCGCTCGAAATAGTGTCAGGGCGGAGTGCAGCGCCAACCGGTCACTGGATTGAAAGTGGGGTCAGACGGGGTAAGGGCGCTTGCACCGGAGCGGTTACCTGGGGCGGTGTTTCGCTGGTTCACCGGGTCTTCACCTGTTAGCGACTAGAAAATTCACTGGGCCAAAAGAAAAGACTGAGCGCTCGTTTGCTGAATTGCTTCGAACGACTCCTTCCGGAGGATCTGAGTCTTTTGTGGGTATGCTGTTCTTGACGTCCACTTCGGAGTGTAACGTGGTTGGGCTCTGATGCAGCGGACCAGGGTGCCCTCGACAGAACGGCACTTGATGCGTTGTCAGAGAAAGCGCAGCCTCTCTTGACTAAGACAAGCAACAAGCTATCACCAGGTGCGCGCAAGTTGGGGCGACAAAAAAAAATAAACAATCGAAAAATCGGAACACGAGCTACGCAGTGTATTTGAGATAACAACTGGCAGGCTATCGATCTCCAGACGTTCTGATCCTAAACAAGTAGGACTGATCGGCCACACCTATATCGGAAGGCGACGGCGCAACAGCGCGATATGAGGCGGTGCTAAGCGACGTAGTCTGCCTAGTTCTTCAAGTCCAGGCGAACGAAGATATTCTCGCTCAGAAGTCCCCAGAACGATAATGCGACCGCGAAATTGGTGTCGGAGGACGCCTAATGGGGCCTCACAGGGCTAATTTGGCTACAGAAGTCTATCAGCAACATCCTCGTAACTGACCAAGACATGTTGGTCTTGGAATTGTGTGCTGTCATGACGAAGTGGAGGGGTAATGCCAAAGGTGGCGGGGGAGGGGAAAGACGAAAGCGTGGCTGTTTAGTTTGTCTTTCCTTATTTTTATTTTTTTATTTTTTTTCTCTCTTTTTTTTTCTCTTTTTTCCATGTTTTTTCAAGGCTGGAGAGGGGGGTGGTGTATGCGTTGGCAAGCGCGAGAATGACGATGCAGCGGGCAACATACCTTGTCGAAATGCGACGTATTAACCACTGCATACAAGAGTCACACGTCGTTCTTCACGCGCAGGAAATATAGAGCAATCGAGAAATTAATGATGTCCCTGCAGACAGTTCGTATAGTTTGCAACGAGATCAAACTAGAGCCCTGTATGATATGGGGGAATGCTGTCAGTCAACCGACATCTCAAGTAAATAAAGGTTGACGCGTGCTGATTGGGCCATTGGTGGCGGGGAACGGACAGCCGGAAGACGCGACCATGATGCAATAGATCCAATACAGGAACCAAAGGACCATGGACTCGTGGTCAAGGCTTCCTGCAATCCCTTTTTGCGCACATGCGACATCAACTCGGAGGATTGTTTTGGGATGATCAGGTGGGTGCAGCAAGATTGAAGATGGGGGAGGATCGCATGTCGCGCAGCGTGACGGACCGCGGTCCTAGGCCAAGAGAACCAAAACAACACGGTCGGATTTTGTTGTGGAAGGGGGAAACAAAGAGACCATGCGAGGGGGGAGGGGGGGGAGGGGCCATGGATTACCTGATGATCGATCTGAGATGGAGGCAGTAAAGTTCCCAACAGTCAATGCAGAACATGCAAGCAACGCGATGATTTGACGACTTGGGGGGAGACTTGTCACGGGGAATGGACGAAGAGTCGAGAGCTTCTGCCAACGAGAAGGCGGGTAGCGCGAGAGCGGTGGACGTTCTGTCGCTGATGTCAGTCCCGGGCCGGGTTGATCCGTGAACGAGTCGGGCACACGCGAATCACAACAAAAGCGCAAAATGAAGAGGGGCGAATTCGATCTGATTTGTGGAGCGTCCACCAGGGTACAACGATGCAATCAAGAAACCGCAGATCCAATGACACAAAACAAAATACGATCGAATGGCTATCAGGATGTATATGATGGAGATTTGGTTGGTGCAAGGTCAACACCTGATGCTGGTCACAAAGCCAACGAGAGGGTCGAAGAGGGGAGAATGTGGGCAACCCACGGGGGGGGAACAGATGAAAGAGTAATTCGATTTGTCGGAGGTTTGCCTCGGACAAGGACAGAGTAACGGGATTGGGTAAAGGGGAAATGAGGTGTTCAATCATGAATGAAAACCAAACGACCAACTGTTGAGCAAGGGGCAAGCAATGGGGATGGGATGAGTGGTTGACGTACCTAGAAGAGGGGGGAGGAATACCACACCCGTGGATGCTGGAAAATGGAGTGGAAATAAAATGAATAAAATCAAGATAAATCTGAATCAATCAAGATAAAAATCAGATAAAAATGAATCAATCGAAATAAAATAGATCAGATAAATCAACGGCAGAAAAACATACAATATCAAATCAATAAAAATAAATCAATGAAAAATAAATAAATAATAGATGTAATGGAGAGTGATCAATCACGAGGGGGAACAAGAACACAGGTGGATGGGGGGAGAAAAGGTGGACAGGAAAAAAGCACGATTGATTGGATTGCACAACAAGGGAGGATCAGAGATCTGAAGCCAACTTGTGCGGGTAGCGAGTAGGAAAAAAAAGAAAAGAGGACCAGACCAATAGGTTTGTGTGCGGGCAGGACTGTCCAACGTATCTTATTCTTAGGAAGGTCGTTGGAGGCTTGGATGACCAACGAGAAGAGGCAGAGAGTGAAAGGCGCAGCGACGAGAAGGGGCGGGCGATGGGGCATTTGTACCGGACGCGCTGAGAGGATAGCTCACTGGCTCGGCCTCTCGTTTAGCGGTAGAGGCGGCGAGGGAATCAGACCAACCGCTGCCAGTGACAGTCCTGTCCGTATTGACCCCGGGGTCTGCCCCACTTGGGGTCAAAAACCAGTTGTTACCAGGTAAGATTTCCAGGTGAGGTCAAAACACACACACATATGAGATTGAGAGAAGGCTGGGCCGGTATTGTATGGTCATAGAACCGTGTATCGAGTATTGGTATTTATCAGCGTCAGCCATCTCATTGAGGAACTTTCTCCGTCGGAGCATGATAGGTATAGTCTAGTTTTCGTTTTAGTTTTTTTATTCGGTTTTTAGTTTGTTAGTTTCTTTTGATTTTTCTATGTATTTGTCGATAGATTTGTTGGCCTGAGCTTTCTGACACTGTTCTTTCCCTCTTTTCATTACTTTCAAGGTCTAACGTTTTAGTGGCCCAAAAAGCCGGCTTTCCCGAGTGTTTGGTCTGCCCCCCAGCACCCCATTACGGACCAAGATTTTCCACCACATTCCGTCACCCATTCTTACCATGATTGTGTATCATCAACTGCTGTTTGGAGTCATCGTTTTTATTTTTATTTTGTTATCTTTATCCCTAATGTCCAGTTTTATTCAGATATAAAATCATGTACGCAGCCTTACGGGCGTGCATGAGCCACAAAGTTAGACATCCAGACGAAGTAACCTCAGACGTATTTAATATGGACTCGGTATCAACTTGGTTTGATTACTGTACTCCGTACGACATGGTTCCATCGAGGGCTCGTCGGATCTCAGGAAACCCGTGACCCGCCCAGCACCTCGGTAACATGTCTTGAATTAGGAAGTCTTATGGGTCAAAATATATCTGATCATCCAAGTGCGAACCATTGCTAGAGATCGTAGATATCAGTCCACTGTCTATACACTCAATCCTAAAATTGCTTCATTCCAGAATAAAAGTCCTCGTTATGCTTTGGAGGCCCCAGCTAGCCTTGGCAGGCCTTTGCTTGGGGGCTAAAACAGAAATGGAAAAAAAAGGAAACAACGAGTAAGGCCGTGAACGAATCCTGTCGGGAATAGATTATTCGGCGAACTAAACTCGTCACGTTCTCCTGGCCTAGATTTTGTGTCTGATAATCAGCTAATAGCACCCTGCATGGTCTCTTCCTTTGTGCGCTGGATGCAGTAGCTCTGGATTATTATTATCTTTATTTCCTGCCCCCTTAAATTCCCTCAGATGGTGCCTGGGCACATTCTGTGATTTTTCTTGCTTATCACACCAGTTCTAGGGTCTTTATTTCTTTCCCCCCCCCCCTCCCGCCTTACTCTGCAGAGTCCTAATGCGAGGCTCTGGGGTAATGGTCCAAGACGCGTGATGTGGGATACTCGACAGCAGCCGCTGCTGATATATAACACATCCGTGACATCATGGGATCATGGACCGAGGATCCGAAGAAACTTCCTTACTACAAACAGTTTCTCCTATTTCCCAACATACCGTATATAGTAAAGTGAATGACTATCAAACTGAAAAAGAAACCTTAATGAGGCATGCTATCACAATTGTCCATCGTGGGCCGGACTTAGGAAGATTAGGCGCCGATTGCATCCCCACCACGTGTGGAAGCTTGACCGCTCTGTGACTGATGTGCCCCAGGCGGCATCGTGGGACCATTCCAGACTCGACGAAATACAGTCCCACCTACAGCTACAAAACAGGTGATAGTTAGGTATATTTTATTTATCCACCCCCGGAGCACAGCAGCATGATCTCATGCAAGGTTATGCCAAGTCCTCTCAGTCGGCATCGTAAGAGAGAAAAGAGCACCGTCATATTCTTCTCATGCCTTTGGCGATGCAGCGCAGACTAAAATATTACCGTCAGGTATTGTACGCAGGGAACGGACAAAGAAAAGAAAAAGCTAGGGCCCACCTGACGTCAGGTTGAACATGGTTTTCTCCACCTCACCGCTCTTCGATGATTGCATGGAGTTTTCCCGAGCGGCTGGGGTTATCCTCTATGAAACATGGGTTTCTGCTGGGATGCTCGTCCATACAACCCGTATGGGGTATATGGGGTATTCTCATGTACGAAATGGCCGAGTATGCCTTGTGAATCTCAGTCTATGCAGCCGACTGTTGACAGAATGCTGTCGAGTATCAGCCGGGCTTGTGCTCTTCATCCAGCTTCTAAAAATCGCACAAGATGAGATAGAGCCCAGTAAAGACGGAGATTGAGATCACCAACTGTCCGGTCGTGGATTGACTTTCATCCCCTCTAACCTCTGTATGCGCGTCCCAACTTGGACATACAGCAGACGGTCTACTAGAGTTGTACAAAACCCCAACCTTGCAACTTTGGAAATGACTGTGACATGCTCGCTCCGATAGATATTAAGAGTGCGACAATGCTCTGAGTGGCGCGTCCCACGACACGCCAGCCAGGCTCCCGTCATTTCATCCCATATAGGCGGAGTACGAGCCCACGAATGCCCACCTGGGACGAAGTGCAGCCATCACACATAGGAATCATTTCGGGACAGCGGTCCTCGGAGATCCAATAGCCGAGAGATCCAGTCATACAAAACCTTGGTCATACTCGAAGAAGTGGCCTCTCAGGGAGATGATTGGGCCAAGCCAAAGCTGTTCATATCTCGTGCACACGCGCGGCCATCATCTTGTCGATATTCAACCACCTGCATCCATATTTCAAAGGCTTATCCATTTCGCGGGAGGCGCTGCTGCCCTTCAACGGCTCGGATTGCATCCTTGATGACTATCCCGCGGAGACCACCGTGATACGCAACCGACAATCTCATTGTCTGATCAGGACTAAACGTACCAATTGTATCAGAGAACCAACTGGTAGATACCCAGAGTTATCATCTAGCTCCTGGGGATAGAAGGCCACATGCCGTCATCAAACGCGGGGAAGCTCCAGAGTAGCCTCATAACTGGCCCTCTGGTCGTCAGCTGGGGGAGCTGCGTACCGTATTGGCTGACGTGGCCTACCTCCGGGGTCCTAACTAACTCAAGACAGAAACCCGAATATTGCCAAGGGTAGGTCAAATGCATCTTACAACAATCGCTGCTCGTCATCTCCAGTACGACCACATCGTTTAGGCCATCCTCTGGGTCACCAGTCACGACAGCAGCTGCGCTTCGCCACGCGCAAAGATGACACCCCAATGGCATCACACTGCCTTGGAGGTTTCAGGCAAGGGGTGCTGTAAATGAGCAGGCTGATCTATCTGGGCCAGCAATGCCCAATGGGGACTGTGTATCGGCCTCCCACGGGATCTGGGAGCAGCGCGTTCGGTGTGAAGTCCGCTTCGTCGTGCTTTATTGGCGCTCAGACCCTGCGATGGGGCAGATGTCATTGTGCTTGATCTGCCTCGTGTCTTACTAGCTCGGCCTCGTCACTATCACGTCTGCAGGTGGTCTAGTGGATTCTCGCGTGGGTCCTGTCTAATTGATGCCGCTGTGATAGCCGGGCATGTTGATGGTATTTGCCATTGGACGGGGGGAGACAACGCCCCTTTCTTTTGGAGTACATCTCGGCCGTGTACCGTAGTGGCTCTACTCCATATAACTGTCTCAATATGACTGCGAAGCTCCTTTGCCCTAAGGTGCTGAATACTAAACATTGGCAATTCACTCTTTTCCCAGTTTTCCACTCACCTTTTATAGCTATTCCCTTTCACCCCGGTAAAATCCATACAAGCAACCATACACCCAAATATCAAATTCAAGAATATAGAACAATCCCTTTTTCTAATTCCCACCATTCAATCTCTTCTCTCCCAAAAAAAACAATAAAACCCCCAAACAAATGACCAACCCCATAACAATCCCAAAAGCCACAACGTCCCCCAGCAAAAACATCATCATCAACAACAGCAGTCCCCCAAAAGAACCAACAGCCCGACCAACCTCCCACCTTTTATCACCCACCTGACCCTAACAACGGGCAGTCTCATCTCAGCAGATTGGGCACCAAGCACCCAAGCCGCCCTACCGTCTCTACCCACATACCCAGGGTGATCACTTAGCTAACTGACTAACCCAGGCAGAGACCAAAAGCGTTTGCAGAGTTTCAAACACCCTATTGGCCACGTTGAGGGCAGGTAGAGTTAAGTTAACTTCGCGAGTCGGATCCTCACCGCTTGCTAAGCTACTTGGCTGGCGCTCACTGGAGTGAGGTGTAGCCAGCGGCCCACTTAGGGTTAGGTTGGGTGCCAGCTGTACGTGCAGTGCCTAGGTTGTGAGGGGCGTGTCACGATTGGTAGGATGTGGAATTGTGGCATCCTTCATATCATATATATCTAATATGTATATTTATCAATTTGTGAGGGTGTATATAGTCAATTATGATATTATTGTGCAAAGTCAGCAAAACACCCGTTGGTGGCTGGTCGGAATGCTCCGGACTGGTTTTGTCCACGTATAGGTAGGTATGTACATATATCAGGCAACTAACCCGCCTAGCCTGCCGACCTACATCTGGGGAAACAGTATCCACGTGTGTCGGCGGCATTAAAATACTTCAACTTTGGATGGATTTGGATTTCTGCAGTGTGGGCTGGAGTAGAGTGGCATTATCGCACCGCAGTATCCGCACTGAACCACAATGAACCTGCAGTGGTGTGGGTTTAGTAGCAGGGGATCAGAATCTATAATTAGCTATAACTAATTAGTTAGCTAGTTAAACAGGCCTTGATTACTAACATTATTTACTAGTTAGTAATTTAACGGCTAGAGAGATTCTGAGACTATGATTACAAGACCTGCATAGTCTAAAGCCTGGGTGTCTAGATATTTAGTACGAGGGGTCGAGGGCTCTGGTCCTATGATCCTGGCTATAGGTATAGGACTCCCAAACACAGGCCCTGTGCCACAAGCCCACTGACCAGGTTAGTGATTTAATACTACCTAGATATGAGCCTGTCTATCATATCAAATCACAGGTTAATTTTTCTAGATGCCTGAGGGCTCCGCCGGTCCTAAATCTTATGACATACTACTAGTGCGGTTATCAGTCCCTGCTGTGCCGGACTAGTAAACTATCTTCAACCAGGAGTCCCGCATGCCTTTGATCCACCCGGCATTCACACAATCCCATTGAGAATGACAACTTCTTTGCTTTGAACCAGTTCATCAAGCGCTGATAAATGCTAGCGAGTGTACTTCATCTTAAATCAATGTAAAAACCAAGGCCTGTGAGTCAGACATGCCACAGATGCAAAAAATCATTGAGGTCCTCCGTCCGGTTGTGTATGTGTAATCTTCGCCTGAACCGAATTAGTGGTCGCGTTGGGCGTAAAGGTAGCATCCTAGGGCAGAGGATACCTGTTCGTTCAAAATCTACTGTTGAACCGTCATGACGGCGTTAAAGATGCCACTTTTCAAAACCGACACTTTTGTCATAAATCTCACCACCTAAGTAGTACCACCTGCACCTTGTTTCCGTCAAAAATACAATCATCTTCCACATTCCATTACATCCATACCTTGGCTGGAAGAATTAGTCATCCATCAATCCGAGGCTCATAACTATTAAAAATCATACCCATAGAAAGTACCTTGACAATAAGCGGGCATGCAACGACAGATATCAGCTAACAGACCTCCATTCCACTAACATGCCGCCTCCGATCTCCACGCTGGGATTTAAAACAAAATCAGGTTGTCTGACATGCAAGTAGGTGCTGTTGATTTGCGATTTGCGAAGGGCATTCTCTAGATGGATGAACTGGCTAACACCATCCACCAGGAGTAAGAGCGGCCAGATGGCGCCCAAAGCATGTTCATCCCACTAATCTGCTGCCCTTTAGAAAGGCGAATTAAATGTGACGAGGCTAAGCCCCACTGTCGGAGATGCACTTCTACAGGTCGTAAGTGTGATGGCTACGGGTCTCCAGTTTACGACCATCGCGTTCGCCTGCCGTTGAATCTACCGCCTGTTCTGAAGCTCTCGGGAAGTGAACGCGAGAATCGCTGTTTCCAGTTCTTTTATGAGAGGACAGTGCCGTCATTGGCAGGTTATTGTGGCTCTGAGTTTTGGAGCCGATTTGTGCTGCAAGTCAGTCAGCATGAGAAGTCGATCTGGCATGCTTTGATCGCGTTGGGGTCATTACACGAAAATTTCGAAAACGACCAACAAATTCCGGGTCTATGGCTCTCTCGATACGGACAGGATAATTTTGCTCTTCAAGAATATGTGACTGCGATTAGGGCTCTCCTTCCTCCAACCGACTCGCACTCCCTTGAGAACACGGACTCCTCGAAACTGACAGTGGATGTTTTCTTGATATCATGCATGTTGTTCGCTTGTTTCGAGGTATGCTCGTTCGATTTTGTCTTGCGCTTGGCTGCGCTGACACGCTTAAGATTCTATCGAGCCACTATGACTCCGCTATAAGACATATCAGGAGTGGTATCAAGATCATGAATGAGGTTCACTGCGACCCTCGATCAGGCACATTCTGCCACCCGAGCCTCCGCTCGTCTACAGTGACCGCATTGGAAATGGATAGTTTGCGGAAAATGCTTGTTCGTCTGCAGGATCAAGCACTGACCCTCGTAAGGCCATTTGTCATCAGGTCACTGTCAAGACAAGACTAATTGGTGTAGACGCGCGAAGAAGTCGATATGCAACTGTCCCAGTCCGTGATGATAAGGGAAACTGACACCGAAATCCCCGAGGTCTTTCGCTCTATCGGCGAAGCACGCGATATATTCGAATATTACAGATGCAAGGCGGGTCGACAATTCCGTGCGTTGGATACCGCAGACTCTGACAATCTCACGGGCCTTCTGCATCACTATTCTCAACTTTTAGGTAAGCTGACCGTGGCGTTGAATAATTTCGAGCGCACTCGAGGTCCACTTCTTACCGCCAGAGACAAGACTGGATTAACCATCATCCGGATCTACCAAAAAATGCAATACATAGTTCTGGAATACGGCAAACTTGGAGTCTCAGACCAGAGGTCATGGGATAATTACAACCCTATATTTGAAGAAATCGTCACGCTTGCCGCTTCTGTGGTTGACAGCGCGCAAGGTATCGAATGTCTGTCTCTATCACCATCTCAACTGGCAGAGCTGTCTCAGAACGGTCGTTTAAAACCCTCTTTCTCCCTTGATATGGGCATCATCGCTCCGGTTTACAATGTTGCCACCCTATGCCGAGATCCTGTTATCCGTCGGAAGGCACTTTCTGTGCTTCGCTCGATGTCGCGACAAGAGGGTGTTTTCAATAGTCATGCTTGTGCCTTAGTTGCAGAGCAGGCAATCGCCATTGAAGAAAGGATGGCTTCGGGGATGGCATTGAACCATCAGAATGAGAGATCTCTCCTGATGCTCTTGCCCGGGACGAGGCCGTCCTGGCAAAGTGAAGCCACTGAAATTGCTCACAGCGACGAGGTTCCTGACTCGGCTCGTCTGACATACATCCACCCGACTATTAAGATTGCTGACAAAAATGTGTGTTTGACCATCGGTCAACAAGGCAAGCACATGGACATCCCTGTACCTGCATTGACTGCCATGCTGGACCTAGTAACATTGTGATGGGCTGGCCGGCGTACGCTTCGTTTCACCAACAGGAGCCATTAACAATATCACGACTGCCTCTTATCAGGTGGAGTGGAAGGTACGAGCTTGGACCATATGAAAACAGCCTCACTAGGTTTGACTGTTAAATCAAACCGTGATGTGCAATATATTCTCATGAGTATATATATGTCCAGCTCTATGAAAACGCCCAATAACAGAAGGCCCAATTGCAAACAAATCAAATCAACTCCCTTCCAACACCATACGCCATACTTGGGAGCACTCCTCAGACTGGCGAGTCCTTTTTGCGAGATCCATGGTATATCATCGCCAGGTTCCGCTGCCGAACTTGCCGCATGTATGCCATTTGTTCGTTTCCTGGGCCTTTGACAGCTTCTTCCTGCCCATCAAAGACGCTTCCGCCCATGAGGCGATGTATTGAGTATCCGATGAGAACAGAGCATAAACAACCGAGGATGATGAGGAAGACGATCGCGCTGCGAGAGATTTCCCATTCGCTGGAGGCCATGTTGCGGATAGACCGATGTGATGCAGGCGGGATCTGTGAGGGCTGTCAGGTGGGTTGCAAGGGTCTCGGGTCAAGGCACACACACCTGTCACTATTGATAAAATCCGTGATAAGGACACAGAGGAATCAATCTTTGGACATGTGTGTTTGTGTGATGGTTTAAACACGGTGACTCGGTTTTTCAAACTTTGGGCTGGAGACATGGAAACTGGCGCCCACCACCGCTTATATAGTCACCAATCTACTAGGATTTAGGCCATGTTAGCTCCCAGCGTTTCAAAATTGTCCCAGTTCAAAAAAAAAAAAAAAACTCTTCGGCCGCAATTTGCCCGTCTATCAGGGCCTTTTTTTCTCCACCCCGGCTGCGCATGGATGTATCCATGGCCTGGCTAGTCCGCTAAGCAACACCCATATGGGACGCTTTAAGCACCAAATTTAGATCTGAGGGCCATCAACCCAATCAGCAACAGAACCATCGGTGTCTCATGCTGCACTGAAGAGGCTCTTAACCGCTTGGGGTCTAAGAGAATTCCACCGCGATGTATACACTCCCAATCAGGCATAGCGGGCTGCTGACCCTACGTCATAAAGCGAACCACCCAATCACAGTGCGAGTATCCATCGCTTTTTTATCTTCACCAGATTCTGCGCTTCCCTGGAACAACTACTGATCTACTGGGAAGTTGGGGTCTACCTAGGTACTAATTGGCGTCTGATATTCAGCTCTCGTTCACTCCCCCTGACGCCAAACCTTCTTCCGGTTGTTCGAAGTGCTCGTCCCAGGGCGTATTTTTAGAACAGGATTCCTGCTGCAGTGGATCCAACGTCCGATGGCTCTCCAGACTTAGTATGCACCCTATCCGACCATCGTGATAAGGCTGACAGCACAAGCGAGGCGTGGAAACCAGGTATAACAACCTAATCGACGGCCCTTGTTTATGCGCTGCTCCGGCCAATGTGCTTTGCGAGTCATCTACAGGTGGTTGGGTGGAATTGACTGCCTGAAACCATATTATTCGGGTTCCTGCATTCAAGTGCAGTTTGAGATATTTCCGCCCTGCAATGCTTCAATGGTTTAAGTGCTTGTGATTTGGGGTTTCGGAGGAAGATAGAAGCCCATGATCATCATCTCCTTGCTCGGCAAATCATGAATAATACTTTAATATATAATATCTTTCCTACTATTATCTCTTGCCGCCAAGGTAATATCATGAGCTTTTAAGGGCCTGTAGCACACCAGGCTCAGAGTTGTTAGTTATTATTATTCACTTTATTATCAATTAGTATTACCTAGTAGCCTGCATAGTGGGAATGCCCAAATGTACACTACTCCCTACTAAGACTGGTTTGTGTGGATAATGCCCAAACATGTAGATATATATATGTTATGCCCGACCACACTTTGAACGGTGTTACAAGAAAAAGCCGCACCCAGCGCCATTCACTAACAGCTAACCTAATAACCGAATGTCAGACTTATATTCTTTGTTCTCTATTCTATCAGCCGCCAGCGGTGTCATGTGCCTCTCCCACCATGTACACTGGTCACGTGCTCACCAAGGAGTCGAGTGATCAGATCTCAAAGTGGCTGATCACAGAATGAATTTCAAAAACAAAAACCCCCCTATTGCAGTCAATAGGATATATATTCTATATGATTAGGGATGATGGTCTACTTACGAATCTGCCGATGAGGAACCATTGTTCCTCATCGGCAGATCCACTATTGCCGAATCCAAATTATAACGTGGTTTGGTTATTCTAGAGATGTCTATACTCTACACTGTTTGCGGAGTCCGAACAGCTACCTACCTACTAGATGTTTGCCTTACGAATGACAGGATGGATAACAACCCAAGTGATTGAAATCCTACACAGTAACCCGAAGGCATACCTAGTGCGGGTTTGAAGAGTCCAGCCATAGTCACGTGCAACAGACGCAGAACCCGCAGTCAGTGTTGGTCTCCTTGCTGGGATATTGAATAGAGTGGAATTATTTGCCCACCACTTCATTTACGGTACCTTGTTGACCTGCCTATCCCAATAATGGTACGCCCACCGAGTGCGACGCGGGGATCGAAAAACGGGGTATATCAGCCTCTAATTGGCTGCAACCTCGTCCAGACCGCTTACCTCATCCGCCGCAATCCCGCCCGCCTTTTCGGGGGTTCTCATGTGGCTTTTCCCGTGCCTGGGGGGGGCGACTTTCGAGCCGATCGCTGACTTCTTCGTAATCCCTTTTTTCTTCTTCCCTTTCCCTCTCCATCTCCATCCCTCAATATCATTTCTTCCTCCGAAAGGACTCGCCTACCTTTTGTCGCGAACCCGGTCGCCCTTAGTGCTGCACGGCAGCTCGAGTTGCGGCCACGTTACCCCTGAGTCGCGTCGGACTTAAAACAGATAGATGACGTCTTTGTTGACATTCACGACCAACATCCCATCTCGAACCAGCCACACCGCGGGCACGACTCTCACGGCATCAGGTGCGATAGGCCGGATCGGGAGGTAAATCGGCTTGCGCATTTATCACCAGAGCGGCGCTCTCGGTGGCGTTCGCGACTCGTGTTTTTTTCTCACCTTGCTCTCGCTTGCGCGCGGTGTCCGCTAAGGGGACCCAAATTTCGAGTACGCGCAGGCGCTTGTCGGACCCCGGGTGTATGGGGAATCGGTCATAATGGCTCCAGGAGGCGGAGGAAACATTAAGGTGGTGGTGCGGGTGCGGCCTTTTAACAGCAGAGGTGAGCCTCGAGGAGTGTATCTTGGTTGTTAAGTCGCCGACTAACCCAGGGGATGATCCGTGATTGTAGAAAAGGAGAAGGGCTCGAAATGTATCGTGCAAATGAAAGGAGACCAAACCATCCTCATCCCTCCACCGAATGCCGAAGCAAAACAACCCCGAAAGGGAGGGAAGGGTGGACCGGAAGGCCCGAAGAACTTCGCCTTCGATAGATCCTACTGGTCTTTTGACAACAAGGCCCCTAACTATGCGAGTCAGGACAATCTTTTCGACGATCTGGGCACGCCGCTGCTGGATAATGCTTTTGGGGGTTACAACAACTGTATCTTTGCCTATGGGCAGACCGGTTCTGGGAAGTCCTATTCGATGATGGGTTATGGCAAGGAGTATGGTGTTATCCCGAGGATCTGTCAGTCGATGTTCGAGCGGATCTCGGAGATCCAGAGAGAAGGCAACCTCAGTTGTAATGTCGAAGTATCTTACATCGAAATCTACAACGAACGTGTCCGCGATCTCCTCAATCCCTCGAATAAAGGCCATCTGAAAGTTCGCGAACACCCGTCTACGGGTCCATACGTCGAAGATCTCTCCAAGCTTGCTGTCCGCTCCTTTGATGAAATCGAGAATTTGATGGACGAAGGTAACAAGGCCAGAACTGTCGCTGCTACGAACATGAACGAGACGTCCAGTCGATCCCACGCCGTATTCACTCTCACCCTGAGCCAAAAGCGTCACGATGCGGAGACTTCTATGGACTCGGAAAAGGTTTCGCGCATTAGTTTGGTCGATCTTGCGGGTTCGGAGAGAGCGAATTCCACTGGCGCAACTGGTGCACGTCTGAAGGAAGGAGCGGAAATCAATCGTTCGCTGTCGACGCTGGGTCGTGTCATTGCCGCTCTTGCAGACGTGGCCGCCGGCAAGAAAAAGAATGCTTCCATGGTTCCTTATCGTGATTCCATTCTAACATGGCTCCTGAAAGACTCACTTGGTGGTAACTCCATGACAGCGATGATCGCTGCCATCTCGCCGGCAGACATCAATTATGATGAGACACTGGGTACCCTTCGGTATGCCGATTCCGCTAAGCGTATCAAGAACCATGCGGTCGTGAACGAGGATCCAAATGCAAGAATGATCAGGGAGCTGAAGGAAGAACTGTTGCAACTGAGATCGAAGCTCGGTGGAGGTGCGCCAGGGGTGGCCGCAGGCGGTGCGCCAGGCGCCGGCGGCGCAGCACCCGCTGCAGACGACTACTACCCGCCAGATACTCCCCTGGAAAAACAGTTAGTCTCTATCCAGAAATCGGACGGCTCGGTTACCAAGGTCAGCAAAGCCGAGATTGTGGAGCAGCTCAACCAAAGTGAGAAGCTTTACAATGATTTGAACGAGACATGGGAAGAGAAACTCGTCAAGACGGAGCAGATCCACAAGGAACGTGAAGCAGCGCTGGAGGAACTCGGAATCAGCATTGAAAAGGGGTTCGTTGGAATGAGCACCCCAAAGAAAATGCCCCATTTGGTCAACCTTAGCGACGACCCGTTGCTGGCCGAATGTCTTGTTTATAATATTAAACCTGGAACCACACTGGTTGGCAACATGGATCAAGGGAGTCATGTGGAGATCAGACTCAATGGTTCTAAGATAATGGACGACCACTGCAAATTTGAAAATGTGGACAATGTGGTTACGCTCGTGCCTAGCGAGGGTGCAGCGATCATGGTCAACGGGCAGCGTGTTGACAAGCCTACACGCCTCAAAAGTGGCTTTAGGATCATCATGGGTGACTTTCACATTTTCCGTTTCAACCATCCCCAAGAGGCCCGTGCCGAGAGGGTCGAGCAAAGCTTGCTGCGTCATTCAATTACCACAAGCCAGCTTGGCTCACCCGCGCCCAACAAAAGCCACGATCGGAACTTGAGCAAGGCTGGCTCGGAGGTCGATGGCGATTCCAGTCGAGCGGATTCTCCTATGCCTTCGCGGGGCCGCGACTCGGATTGGCTCAATGCCCGTCGTGAAGCTGTCAGTGCTGTCATGGGCCCTGACCATATCTCCAACATGCGCGATGACGAACTGGATGCTTTGTTTGAAGATGTGCAAAAGGTGCGGGCGACTCGACGTGGGCGAGCCGAGAATGACGAGGATTCCGATTCCCTGAGCTCCTTCCCTGTCCGTGACAAATACATGTCCAATGGAACCCTCGACAACTTTTCATTGGATACAGCGATAACTCTTCCGGGCACGCCTCGTAACAATGAGGACGATGACGGCCAAAGTGGCAACGACGTAGCATTGCAGTCTGCTCGCCAGGACCTGCAGCGTCAACTCGATCGACAGAAGGAAGAATACCAAACTAAGCTACGGAATACAGAACTCTCCCCGACCCGGGGACCCGAAGGTCTCCAGTCCGAAAAAGCTCGTATGGAAGTTGCCCTCCGGGCGACGAAAGAAGAGTATGAGAGACAGCTCCGGCGGCAGAAGCAAGCTTTCGAGTCCCACATGAAGGACATGGGCCAGCCCATTCCCAGGATCTACGAGAATGGCTTTGCCGAGCTGGACCCCCGGGAGATCGAGATCGCCAGTACGATTTTCCGTCATTGGTCGCAGCAGAACTACGTCCGTATGGCAGAAAATGTCCTCCAGCATGCTTCTTTATTGAAGGAAGCTCAAGTTATGAGCCACATTATGGACAAAAATGTCGTTTTCCAATTCGCGGTCGTTGATCATGGGCACAATATGGCATCGTCTTACGATCTCGTGCTGAACGGCATCTCTGGAGATGAAGACATTTTGTTGGATGATGCTAAGAAACCATGCATTGCTGTCCGTGTAATTGACTTCAAACAATGCGTGGTCCATCTCTGGTCCGTCGAGAAGCTCCAGCGTCGCCTCCAGGCTATGCGTCAGCTGCACCAGTATATCGACCGACCGGATTATATCCAACACTTCAAACTTGAGAACCCCTTTTCTGAACCATGTTCGCCTCAGTATTCTCTTATTGGAGACGCAGATATCCCGCTCACTGCTGTTTTCGAGACCCGAGTACAAGACTTTTCTGTCGAAGTGATTTCGCCATATACACACAATGTCGTCGGTATAATCCGGCTGTCTTTGGAACCTTCATCGGCGCAGGCCCCATCATCTACGCTCAAATTCAACGTTGTCATGCGTGATATGATTGGTTTTGCCGAGTGGGAGGGCACGGAAGTCCATGCGCAGTTATTTTTCCCCGGTATCTCGGATGAAGGCGGCGCCACCACAACTCAGATGATCAGCGGCTTTGATGAAAGCGCTGTCCGCTTCGAGAGTGTCCACAGCATGAGCTTGCCGCTTTCCAGCCCGCGGACCGCTGCATTGAAAATTTGCGTGTATGCACGGGTGACTCAGATGCATCTCGACAAGCTTCTGAGCTGGGATGACATGCGCGATTCGGCCGAAGCCCCGCGCAAAAAGCGCAAGACACCACGTATTGCGGAATCGGAATTCTTTTCCGAAGAGAGACATGACGTTTTCGCAAGAATCCAGGTCCTCGAAATGACGGAGAGCGGAGAATACCTTCCTGTTGAGGTCGTGCAGAGCAATAGTCTGGATGCTGGCACCTATCAGCTGCACCAGGGTCTCCAGCGTCGCGTTCTGATCAATTTGACGTATAGCTCGACTGAAAGCCTGCCATGGGATGATCTGGCTAACGTGCGCGCGGGATCAGTGCGACTGCTTGATCCGTGGGGGAAGATCCCTGACCAGGATCTGCAGACGCCAGACGTCCCTCTCAAGTTTGTCCAAGAACCCATGGTGAAAGACAACGCTGATGGAACATCGAACGTTACTTTGATTGGTCAGTGGGACTCCAGCTTGCATGGCTCGCTCCTCCTCGATAGGGTAACTGCGGAGAAGTATCGAGTGCAGGTGACAATCCGATGGGATTTGCTATCTTCACGTCTGCAAGATCCCGTTGGATTCAGTGGGGATTTGACTCTTCAAATTCAAGGTCGCACATACGTTCGCCAACAGTCAATGTTCAAGCAGCTGTTTAACTCTACCCGGATTGTGCATTCTACTGTTCGCATGTTTTCCCTGGTTGTCCGTCCCGTGTCAGCGAAGCGCGCGGCCGATCTTTGGCGCATGAATACCCAGAATGATTATGTCAAAGGCGAGGAATTTCTCACTGCATGGGCTCCGCGAAAGATTTCTCTTGTCCGGGACTATGTGATGGCCCGTAAACGGCGCCACCGAGTTGCCGAGTTAAATGCGGCTAAAGGCGCCCTCAGTGCCAGCAGTCTTGTCCCGTCCCCCCCTCGTAGCGGCCGTTCGACACCTCTACGCACGCAAGAATTGACAGACCGGAAAGCGAAGATTCTCCGGAAGTATGTTGAACTTTGGTCGACCAAGACCGATTCAGTCGATGCCGTTCTTGTCCGAAGCAATACGGAACCCCCGGCAGGAGGTGCAGCCTTTGCCTCGCGTACGAAATCGCTAGCTTCAGCCGACGATGCCAGTTCTGTCTCTGACGACGCGACTCTTACGCCGCGGTTCATCGCCACGATTCAAACACTACCGAAGAACCCCTCCTCTTTGAAGTCTGGGTATTTGTTGTCTCCGGATGATACGTATACCCATTGGGTTCGGCGTTTCGTTGAACTCCGCCGACCGTATCTTCACGTGTACTCAGTGCCTGAAGGTGACGAGATCAACGCCATCAACCTGAGGACCTCACGAGTCGACCATGCTCCCGACTTCGCGCGACTTCTCGACGGTCCCGGAGCGGGGACGGACCGCCCCAACGTCTTCGCATTGTACGGACCACAGAACACATTCCTTTTCGCGAGCCGGACCGAGGCTCAAAAGGTGGAATGGATTCTGAAGATTGACGAGAGTTACTTCAGCAGCAAGGGGCCCAGAGTGGACGCGAACGGCTTCAGGCACTAAACTTGCGGTCCTATTCCCTCACCTACGCTGCCCGTCTTCTGAATTTTATGCCAGTCATGAACACTTCCTTCTCGTGTGTTTCACGCTTTGCCCTTTCTTCTGATCTTTGCCCATTACATTGGCCTTCCGTTCACCCCACCCTGAAGAACCCACTATGTCTATATCTTGGCTCCCCTCCCAAATCCCCATCTTTTCGTGGCAGTTTTGCCTCGCTTGAACTATACAACTTGCATCTAATCCCTTCATCCTCGATTGTTTTTGAGATACCCCCGGATACACATACATCTGCCCTTTCTAGCACTTGCGATCTCCATGTACATATTTAAGAAGTAGTTCCCCGACCTATAGATGGCCGTTGGTGACGCCAGGGCCCCCAACGGCGCTGATCGTTGGCCTCTCTTCATTTCGGAGGAAGGGTGGACTTATATGATAAAAATGTAGCACCACTTATTATTACCGGATGCTGCCTACCTACTATTGTTGATTCGTAGTAGGGGATCATGGATTAATTAACTGTCAAGATGAGCCAATGATGATATTGCGCCGAGGTGTTGCCATGGAAACCACCGCGATATTGTCTGACTTGAGAACAACCAGAGTCAAATGGATTATCTTCAGCCTTCTTATTGTTCTCTGCTTTGATCCAAAAAACCTTCCACTTTATTGCTATTTGGAATTTTATTTCGCTCCAGAAAAGGGATCTTTGGAAACGCGATGGCCATTGCGCAGCAGCACCAACTGCCGTAATCCAAACACGGCCGCACCGCACGCCCATGCTATACACGCCATCCCCAGCATTAACGTTCAACCCGATCAATATCTTCAATAAGAAAAAAACTCCCAATACGGAAAAAAAAAAAGAACCCCACCATGCGTTGGCAACAACCCCAATCAAGCACCTGGGCCCGCTTCCTAGGCACGGGCGCGCTCGTCTCATTAGCCATAATCACATTCCTCGTCTTCGAAGGCCGATTCTCCAACGACGTCACCAAATATGCACTAAAGTCGTCGATGATTCCACCTCCAAAGGATGGATCGTTCGGCCGCTGCGCGAACGACACCGAGAAGTGGGAATATGTGACTGGGCGGGACGCGAATAACCATGGGCTTTCGGAAGAGCAGTGTCTGGCGGCTTTTCCGAAGCTGTTTGTGGAGGTTGATAAGACTTTTGAGGGGAGAAAGGCAAATCCGGTGAAGTACAAGGAGCTGGATGAGTTGGTTGTGGAGGATGGGATGTTTAGGGCATTGATTTATAATGGGGAGGTGAGTTTTCCTTGGTGTCTTGTGTAAGATGGTATGGCATTTGCTGATAGGGCGGTTTGGACTAGTTGTATGTTGTCGACTATGCGGACATGACTTATACGCAGACTCGAGCCAAGTCGACTCTGAGCTCGCTCAACCGCGCGCTGCAGGCCATCCCTGATCGACACAGTATCCCCAATGTTGAGTTTGTTTTGTCCTCGGACGACTTCAGCAACGGTAAAGGACCGGTGTGGTCCTACTCCAAGCGCGACGAAGACAGCACTGTGTGGCTGATGCCTGACTTTGGGTACTGGTCCTGGCCGGAAGTCAAGGTCGGTCCGTACAAGGAGATCCGACGTCGGATCGCCGCCGTCGATGACGGGGAGATCGCACCAGATGGCAGTGTAACCCCGGGAATGTCTTTTCAAGAGAAAAAGAAACAGCTCCTCTGGCGCGGCAGCGTGAACACAAACGCCGAGATCCGAGGGAAGCTTCTCAAAGCCGTCCAGGGACAGAGCTGGGGGAGCGTAAGGGTCATCGACTGGGACGAGGAGAACGATGTCCGATTCAACCTGCTACCCATGGAAGAACACTGTCGCTACATGTTCCTGGCACACACCGAAGGCCGCAGTTTCTCCGGACGAGGCAAGTACCTCCTCAACTGCCGGTCCGTGGTGGTCTCGCACAAGCTGGTCTGGCGCGAAGCCCACCATGCAGCTCTGATTGCGTCCGGAGCGGACGCAAACTTCGTCGAGGTCGAGCGAGACTTTTCTGATCTCCACAAAAAACTAGAGTTCCTGATTGATAACCCCAAGGCTGCGGAGCGCATTGCTAATAACGCCGTGCGAACCTTCCGCGATCGATATCTGACGCCTGCGGCGGAGTCGTGCTACTGGAGGTATTTGGTGAGACGATATGCGTCATCTTGTGAGTTTGAGCCTGTGCTGTATCATGCCGATAAGGATGGGAAGAGGCAGATGCGTGGGACTCCGTTTGAGAGTTGGATTTTGTCGGGGCATTAGCTCTTGCTTTCCCCTTCTTTTGCACATCCTTTGCTCGCATGCAAATTCCGGGTTTGATGGGCATGTATATGAAGGGAGTTTGGGGGAACACTTGATGTTCAATTTCTATATGTATATATGATCCACGATACGATGACCATGACACAATGCAACTACTTGATGATGGATGAGATAGCCTTATGGCCTCAGGCCGCCTGAATTCCCAACCCGGAAAAGACCCAGACGTCCACTCAGCGTCATCTTTCATCTTTCATCTTTCGTCATTTCCCCCACTTCTCTTCATTGCACTCTCTCCTATGTACTACCCCGCAGTTCAACCGGTGAATCTCCCCTTGCTGATGATATTTCGCGCATGTGAGCCTTACAACATTGAAACCTTGCCTAACGCAACCACATTGTATGCGCCCGACTTTACCCAGACCTGGGCACGAGATCTCACCATGGGGGAAAAAAGAGAGTCAGACGACTGTTGGTGTACAAGATGTTGATTGCTCTGCTCACGCTATACTTTGAGCCTGCTGCTGACTGTGCCTCCGTTCTCAGTCACAGGGGTTTGGTCGGGGAGAAGATGGGAAGATCGACAATTCCTCCCCACGGCTTGAAGCTAGGGGTCGGGGGCCGGTGGATCTCTCAAAACCCGACTTCTTCGCGAGATAGAGTTCTAACGATTGACTAACTATTGAACTCTCTCACATCGGGGCTGTGGGCCCCGGGATTTGCGTTCCTGGTACCTGAAAATCGGCGGATAGGAACCCACTGGCTGTCCAGAGTTCGGGGGGTTTTCGGTGCCATGCATCGCGCGCCGTTGCATTGGTGGTTTGGATTTCAACGGTTGTTGCTGATGACGAACCGGTTGCTCGTCATGTTTGCTAGTTGTTGTGGTTGGGACTGCATGGCTAGAACCAATGACGGATCTTCATTCCTGAATACGGAGTACACTGTATAACGTTCCCAGATGACCTTATGCACGTCGGATGATGTGCCAGCGGGCAGTCCGAACCATGGCTCCTCCTTTTCCTAATGGATTTAGGCTCATCCTTTCCGGCAGATTGTTTCTAACTGATCCTAGTAACGGAGACGATGATAGGTGTGCGGGGATGGTAGGTGACTACTAACTATGGTACAGCGAAGATCAGGATCTTCAGGACTGGACGGTTCGATCGGTATTGACTGGGGCTGGTTTTTTGATCAATTTGTTCGGCCCCCGAAAGCCTCGGACGACGTCATTAGCATGCCTCTCATCTTTGCAGCCGGCCCGACAATCTGATGTGCCTGAACAATGACACCTAACATGCCGAATCATATCATCTGTTGTGGCGATCAAACAACAGAGTTACATTAGAGAGGTATATGCAATCGCCAATATGTCATTCCGCCCGAGGTCTTTCCCAGGCAGCGGTTGTCCTCGGGCCCAGGGATTAATCGCGACGCAATTATCCTGTCAGCGCAGCCGCAGCCCCCTTGGCAGTACGACCCACAGCTTGTCTCAGATGCCAATCTTTGACATTAACCAGAAAAGTCAATTAAGGGATAGCGGATGTGACCCGTTGATCCATGCCTCGTAGATCTTGTTGCGGGGCGGTCATTTACAATTGCTTGGAGAAGACCCGTTTTGTTTGGCCGGTATGAACGCATTCGCCGCATTCGGATTCAGCCGCTCGCATTTCGCGTCTGCTTTGTCGTCCTTTCCCCATTGTGGACCACATGTATCAATTTTGAATTTCTCCGAGTGCAGCCCCAAGAATGCCCACCGATACCCAATGTGTGGTCCGCCTGGCGTTCTCGCATGATGACCCAGTCATCCTACTCAAAACGTCCAAACTCCGCCACTTTACGCGCAGATGAAGCCTCCCAGAGGTTTGAGCCCCCACAGGCTGGATACCAATCCAATGGCCTGCCGATGCTTATTCTGCAAACTATCCAGACCGGTAGATGCAGTCCTTATTGTGACCTGTGTGACAATCAGGTGATGGATGATTTCGTTCAGCCGCCCACCGCATATCGCCCCAATGCGGCCAAAAAGAATGCTGGACATCGTCGTTCGAAAGCTGCCAATATAAAGCAATGGCATGCTTCTCAGAGGATCGAATATGGCTTCTCAGGAATTCCATTCTCTCATTCCAAGCTCCGATCTGCGTGCCTTCCAACCACCTAAACCTTGCTAGCATTTTTCTCCCTGTCGATCACTATACTCTATTCCGTTGACACCTTCCGCGCAAGATGTGGTCCCCTGCGATAGCTACGCTGACGTCGGGGCTATTTCTCCTGGCTCCGAGTGCCATTGCCTCTCCCCTCAAGGCTGCCGAGGGCGCTCGGCTGGTCATCAACGCGGACTTTCCCGACCCCAGCTTTGTCGAGACGCCAGAAGGGATCTGGTACGCCTTCGGTACGAACAGCAAGGACAAGAAGGTTCAGGTTGCGAGCTCCAAGGACTTCGAGACATGGACAGTCCTCGACATCGATGCCTTGCCTAACGTGGCACCTTGGGAGACGGAGAAAGACCACTGGGCCCCGGACGTAATTCGACGGGTACGTCCTAACGTAGCATATCTACATAACCAAAGCAAGACCCACTAACAGAGCACCCCAGAACGATGGCAAATACGTCCTGTACTACTCGGGAGAAGCCAAGGCCCTTCTCGACCACCACTGCGTCGGTAGCGCCGTCTCAGTCGACACCGACCCAGCAGGTCCCTACATCCCAACAGAGACGCCCCTCTCCTGCCCCTTAGACCAAGGCGGCTCAATCGACCCCGCCGGGTTCCAGGACGTTGACGGCAGCCGGTACGTGGTGTACAAAGTCGACGGGAACAGCATCGGCAACGGCGGCGACTGCAACAACGGGATAGAGCCGAAGAAGCCCACGCCGATCATGCTGCAGCGGGTAGCCGAAGATGGGATCACGGTCATCGGCGGACCCGTGGAGATCCTCGACCGCGACGACACCGACGGGCCCCTCGTCGAAGCCCCCAACCTCATTTTCAAAGACGACACCTACTACCTCTTCTACTCCACCCACTGCTTCACGGACCCCAACTACGACGTCCGCTATGCGACCTCCAAATCCCTCATGGGCCCTTACGTCAAGACCAACGAGCGGCTGCTCAAGACCGGCGACTGGGGCCTGATTTCCCCCGGCGGCGGCACCGTGTGCCCCTGCGGCGATCGCATGCTGTTCCACGGGTTCTGTGAGGAACACAAGCGCTGCACGTACGTGGCGCAAGTGAGCCTGTCGGATGGGAAGGTGGCTCTCCTGTAGAGTGAATGATCGTGCACATCTATCTATCTACCTATCTCTATCTAGTCTATTCTAGAGCCTGACTGTTCAACAGTCATGGCAAGCACCACCGGGTGGAGTTCGGGAGGGAGTTCGGCGGGAAGGCGTCAATTTGTCTTTTTTTCTTTTTTGTTTTTCCCTTTTTCTCGTGTTGATCAATTCTTCACGTGTTTCTTTTCTCTCATGAGATGGATGAGGGAGGGCGAGTCGTTTGGACAGACATGTCTATCTTCAATCTACCATCAAACGGTCCTATTCTATCACCCAACCTACCCAGATACTTCCTTCTAGGATAACTTACTTGGACTCTACGAGCAAATAATCCATACAGTAATGTGGGATTCACACAGCACTATTATTCAATACACAATACCATAATATGACTCAGTACACACATCTATCACCACAGCAATCCAGTCCAGAACCAGGACCAAACCCGAGATAATAAACGCAACGCAACGCAGCACACCACAACACAATGTGATAAATGGAATTAGTATTGACCGAAACAAGCCCAATAGGGGAGATTATCTATCAAAGGAAACGACCACCGAAGGTGAGTAAATGTAAGTGAGTAAGTAAGTGCGTCATCGTCATCGTCGTCGTCAGCGTCTTTCAGGGACCACGTGTGTGCGTATGTCTGCATGCATGTATGCAATCACGTATGTATGTATGCAGCAAATAAAAGAAGAAACAAAGAAAAGAATTGCAAGAAATGCAAGAAAGCCATGCCATCTTCGTCATCTCCAAGAACCGAAACAAGCCGAGGTACGTACATACATACATACATACGTACCTACTCCTGTAATATACGCACGCACGTGCGCACGTAAATCGCATGCCACATGTATGCAAATACGCATACGCATGTATGAGAGCCTCAGGCTCCTGGCCTCATCATCACAGAGAGACAAAGAGGCATCCGACAAGCGGGAGCCTCAGGCAGACACACCCCCCGACGAGGAGGTCGTCTGAGCTCTCCGACCAGCCTTGACACCGCGCACCCACTTCGCTGCTTCAGCGACGGCCACGTCCGGCGCAGTCTTATAGTTCAGCAAGTGGCCCTGGATCTCAGCGGCGGAGATCTCGCCTGCGGGGACTGCGTCCGCGAATTTAGCTGCTAGGGAGCGAATTTCGGTTGGTGAGAAGCGGCTGAGGGGGTCTGTTTTCTTTTTCTTGTTGTTGTTATCGTTGGTGGTATTGTTCTTGTCGGTGGTGGTAGAGGAAGAGGTAGTAGAGATTGTCTTTTCCACCGAGTGTTTTGACTTAAGGGCCGCAGAGTGGAAGTCTTCCTCGCGCGCGGTGTACATAGATTCGAAGAGGTCGCGAATGTCAGCAGCAGCGGAGTAGCCGAATTCGATGGACATGTCGACGCGGCCAGGGCGGAGGAGCGCGGAGTCAAGTTTGTCGATGTGGTTGGTAGTCATGATGAGGATGCGGCCTTCGGAGGCGGCGACGCCGTCGATGACGTTGAGGAGGCCCGAGAGGGAGACGCCCTTTTGGTCTTTGGTGTCGCTGGCGTCTTTGGCGGCGGCCGGAGTATCGGTGACGGTTGCGGGGTCCGATGAGGCCGCGTCGGGGGCATCTTTGGCGGGGGAGCTGCTGTCGGGATCGCGCTGGTGGGTGATACCGGCGCAGTCGACGTCTTCGAGGAGGACGATGCAGCGACGGGGGAGTCCGTGGAAGAGACCCATCAGGTCGTCTTCGGTGAGGGTCTTGGAGCTGAGGTTGAGTAGGTACATCTCGAGGCCGAGGAGCCCCGCGGCGGCGAAGCTGAGACTGGTCTTGCCGGTGCCGGGGGGGCCGTGCAGTAGGTAGCCCCGGCGGTAGGGGATGCCGCGGTTGGAGTACCAGCGGCGGGTACGCGGGTGGAGGTACTCCTTGATGTCGTTGACGAAAGCCTGCTTCTGGGCGGCGTCGAGAACAACGGTGGAGAGCGGGCGCGGGGCGCGAGCCATGCAGCGGACCCAGTCGACGGTGAGGGAGCGATCGCGCTGGGCGCGGTAGATGACGGTGTTTTTGCTATCGCGACCGACGTAGGCGTGCTGGGCTTCGGCCAGCAGCTCCTTGAGAACGGCCGGGTTGCGGCCGAAGCACGAAATGTAGAGGCGCTCGGGGTTGAGCATGAAGAAGCCGGCGTTTGGGTTATTGTCCTCACGCACACGGTTGAACCAGAGCAGGTGTCCACGGAACCAGAAGTAATGGCGGCCCGCGGCGGGCGTGAACCGCAGTCGTTTGAACCGGTCGCGCGTCTTCGTCCTGGCCCAGTACTCATCAAAATCGTCCAGCACGTTGCCATTCTCGTCCATCTCGTCCTGCTCATTCCATGCGTCTTCGCCATCGCGCTCGCCATCCATGTCGTCGTAAAAGTACATGCCGGGCGATATGCGCGTGGCAGCGATGAAGTGGTGCATTTTCTTGGTGAGCGGCTGCTGTGCGACCCAGAACAAAACGTGCTTGGAGATTTCGTCGTCCATCCGGATCTCCGCCGTCGATACACAGTATTCTTCGATGAGGTACCAGAACCGCATGACTAGGTAGTTGGCTGAGAAGACTACGACGGCTGAGAGGGCGAGAAATGGCAGATAGGCGGAGAGATCCACTTGTAAATATGTCCTCAAGAGGCCCGAAACCATAGAATAGCCAGGAATGAACGCATCGAGGAGGGCCGCATCGGAGGGAAAGACAGAGTCGGTGGGGGTGACGGTGCGATTCATGATGGGCGGGTGTTCAATCCAGGCAGGTGTGGTGGGAAGAAAAAAGCATTTTTTCCCAAGAAAGGGAAAGGAACGAGAAGATATATATAGATTATAGAGATGAAGAACACACGGGCAGAGCCTCACGACGTCATCCTTGTTGGTGGCTTGCTTGGGTTACCATCGCAGCCTAAACAAACGCCGCATAAAGGCATGACAAGGCTCCAACCGACCGTGAAAGCATCAGCAGATCGTCACTTGAGGCTGACTGCAGCCTAGTGCGGATCGATCCAAATCTAGATCCCGCTCCAAGGGGTCCGGGTGCTGTTGATTATAATATTAATATAGGGTATCTAAATAGCAATGGAAATCTTGTGGACCGTAAAGATACGGGCCGACGATACGCATCAAAAGAAATTATCTTTCACCGTATCGACGACATCAGTCGCCCAGTCCTTCACCTCCCCCACTTTGCCCCAGAGCGTTCCCCACCACGTTGGTCTCTCGTCGTCCTCAGTCCCGGAGTCGGGATTCGGACCTGCAGGTGCTTCTGCTGGTGATGTAGGCTTGGAGTCTGCGGGAGCCGCGTGAGTAGGCGTATCCGCAACGAAGGTGCTTGTAGCGGGAGGATCCGATGGATCCTCCACCGCTGGAGCGCCCGCATCGGAATGCAGGCCGATTGGTTTGAGCGGAAGGCGCAGAGTTCCGTTGTTCGGCTGGGGTGGAAGCCCCAAGGAGTCACAGATGATGTTGTACACGTTGACATTTTCTGTCCGGGTTAGCATAACTGACGTCTAGAGGATCTACCAAAAACGAGGAGACCTACGAAATGGTTCCACCCGGCTATTGGGGTTATGGGGAAACGCTGGGCCTCGCGCGACAAAAATCGCGCGCATGAGCGGATGCTCGTGATCGTAACCATGCACCCCCCGGGGGTGATACTCCTTCCCATCCTGCAAGGCTCGCGCGGCGTCGAAATCCGATCGTTCGACGACCACCCAGCCAGCCTTGGGGATGACCCACAGTGGTGCGATGCGATCGTTGTTCTGGAAATGGTAACGTTCCGGCATGGCCTCGCGGGTGTAGATCTCCACTGCGTGGGAGTAGTTTTCTCTCAAACTATTCAGCTGGCTTTGCAAGGTCTCAAGGTGTTCCGGTTGTTTGGGCCGGAGACCGCGCAACGGCCACCCGTCAATATGGTCGACGAGGTTGAGGTCGATGAAATCGTCGAGCTGGACCAAGCGCTCCGTCGCAGTCGTTGCCATCCCGTGGTCCGAGACAATCACGACATTGACGATCTCGGTGAGGTTCCGAGCCTCTAGGCCGTGGAACAAGCTCCCTAGCATCTCATCCACCTGTGCAATGGTCCCACGGATCTCCGTGCTATTAGGCCCATATTTGTGCCCATCCGCGTCGACATTAGGGACGTAAGCCGCAAGGAGCTGCGGGCGCGCGGGGGGTTGATCCTCAATTTCCAGCCCCGGCATATCAAGGAAACCTAGAAGACGGTCCACCTTCTTGGACAGCGCTTCGGAGCCATTATATTCATCCAGATACGTTGGATCCACGCCACCGATGTGCGCTTCTGAGCCGGGCCACATGTGGACAGCCGACTTCATCCCATGGTTTTCGGCCCTCATCCACAGGGGTTCTGCGTTCCACCATTTCGCTTGCATGCTGATTTCTTGGTGGGTGTAGTAGAACTCCTCCTTCAAGGCTGGATCCCAAAACGTATTTGACACCACTCCATGGCTTTCTGGATATAGTCCGGTCATCAGGGTGAAGTGGTTGGGAAAAGTGACGCTGGGGAAGCTGGGGAGCATATATGGTGGCGACACGCCGCCTGCGACAAATGAGTTGAGGAAGGGGGTCAGGCCGCGATTGAGAAAGTCGGCGCGAAATCCGTCAAGAGATATGTATATGGTGGTCGGAGCGAAGAGTGCAGTGCCATTCGATCGGAGCGGTTTGGTTTGGGACGCGCGGAATTGGATAGATGCCTTGTACGCTCCCAGGAGGAAGATGAGGAAGAGAACAAAGATGGCCGAAAAGACTAGACTCAACTTCCACCATGTCACACGTCGGGATTCCTAGACCGACGAACCGTCGAAAGATTAGTCTCGGACTTTGATCCTCGAGAAAAGAGCAACAGCTACGATCATACCTGTATAGGAGGGTACTTCTCCTGACTGTCTTCGTCCAGGTCCGACTCGGAGCTCAGCAACGAACTCTCGTCATCCCGGTGCCCTTCCTCCATCTCAAACATCAACTCCCCTCGGCGCCGTCTGCCATCCCCATGCCGAGCTCTCCTCCGCGATCGTCTTTTATTTGTTTTACCAATCCGAACGGTACTGTGGCTGGGGCTAAAGATGCGACGAAGCCCGTGTGTGGGCCCGCTCCGAGTCAAGAGATTCTCCGTTTCTTCCTCCTCCTCCAACACGGTCTGATCATGTCGGGAGAGCTCTACTGTTGTACGAGAGGCACGGATGAACTCGTCATCTTCGGAGTCAGAATCCTGCTCCGACGGAGACCGCAAGGAGTCGGCATCGTCATCGTAGCCGCTGGGAGAAAGGAGGGAGGGGTTGGCTAAGTCACGTCGGGAAGGCATGGGCGGACGAATGCATGAGGTCGGACTAATCAAACGCTAAAGGACAGAAGAACGAGAAAACAACAATGAATGGACGGAGAGCGAAATATGAAAGAGATGGTGAAGTTGAGGTATTGGAGAGAGAGAGAGAGAGGGAAAGAAAGAAGAAAGAGGAGAAGCGACGATCACTTTCCTTGACCCGTTCGGGCTTAGTCTCTCTCCGCCTTCATCTTTCTCTTCCAGATGGGATCGTTGATCTTCGTTTGTTGACATCTCGCCGTCTACAAAGACTTTCACGAATATCCTGACTTGACAATGCAGAATCATATTGGATAATGGATTTGTGCTATGCTTTCAATCTTTGTTGACACAATGAGAATCCAGGTAGAGCCATTTTGTCAAGATGATTACTATAAATACTAGTCAGAGGCCCCAAACCCACCAAGCCCAATGGAGCCTCGAGCTTTCTACAAACCAAAAGGTTAAGTAATTATCCCATCTCTCACCTACCAAACAATTCAGATCGATACACAAATCATGGCAGCCGCCAATCCCCAAGGGGACGAGTTATTCATTCCCGACTCCCCACATTATAAATTTTACTTCGTCTTCGTTCTCCCCGATCAAAACTTCCCATCGCTCGAGCTGCTATTCCAGTGTCTTGGACTGCTTCGCACCCGCCTATACGAGGTCTTCGACTCAAAGGAGTCCATCAAGGCTGAAGACGGCGACATGATTCTTGAGGTGGACGCCTACGAGCCAACCCGCGAATCCGCCGTTCGTGCTGCTACGTTCGCTATCGAGCGTGGCATTCGTAATTGGGACTTTGAGATTCAAGTTATGGGCAGGATTATGTATCCGAAGAATCTCGAGTTTCGCATGTGAGTATGAGAGAGCGCGTCTTCTTGTTTGTTTACTTGTTTTTGCTACGTTTCGATGGTCACAGGGGCTCAACTCGTAGAAGACATGGCACCGTAGGCTTCGTACATTTATTTAGTGTGGGAATATCACTGGTTTCTCTTTACCACATGATAAACTAGTGTTATAATCAAGCAACATAAGAATATTATATACCTCAACAAACGAGAGAGTGAGTGTAACTCCTATCCCAGTAATCCCTCATGAGCTTCCCCAACCGCCGGTTCTGTAACAGCCGAAGGGGTTGGAACACCATGAACAAATAGCTTGGCCCCCCTAATATCCACCTGCAACTGGCCAAACAGATGTTCAAGCTCGGGGTGTCTCCTCATCGCAAGGCCAATATACAGCGGTTTGATCTCCCTCCATCGATCCTGGATAGTTGCGCCATACCGATCAGCCAACCATTGGATATCTTCGAAATCGCGGAATTTCGACCGAGATGCTGCGACACAAACTTTGCCTTTCATAATGAGAAACGGATCAAGCAGGCTGCAAGGGCCTTTCCCGAAATGTCGGCCTTCGACTGTACGGATAATGGGTTGTACGCCGCTCATGTTGTATTTGGCACCTGGAAATAGTTAGGTTAGCGCGAACTGCCTTCAGATGGAGGAGGGGAGGTATAATATACCTCCAAACATCTCACAGATTATTTTGACACGGACTGGGCTTTCTTGTTCGTCAGATGCTTCGGACCACACAAATTGGATCCAGTCCTGTCGAGGTCGAGGTTTGGCCACGAATCCACTCTTTCCATCTAGGAGAGTGATAACTTCATGCTTGGTGATGGAGGCGAGACAATCAATGTTTTTGGTCTCCCGGGAGCTGCCTAAAACGGTAACGGCGTAGCCACCGAATATACCATGGGGAATATGGGCTTGGGTCAGATGATAGTGGAGGGCAATAGCCGCGTCATTCAGTCGTTCTTGAAGCATGTTGTTATAAATATATGCGATGGTAGTAAGAACATTCCTTGGAAACTGGGAAGAGGATTTGATATCAATGATTTAGTGATTCATTCCAAGTGTCAATTACTAGAAATAGTGGTTTATGCGGCTTGCTCCCGCCTCGTCCCGTTCCTATGTGTACTGCCTCGTTAGCTCGCGATAGCCCGAAGAAGAAACTCCTTCCCTCCTTTCTTCCTTCCTTCCCCTTCCTATGTATAAAGTAATTCTCTGCCTATTACGCCCGCAAAGGGATATAAATCTCAAACCCTGCCAACAGTGCGAAAGAGCTTTCGGAAATGATAATATAAGCAGACGTATATGAACCCCTTGTACTAAAGATATATGTTGTTACCATTCTTCCGATGGCAACAGGATGGACTTCATGAAGTTGACAACGGGAGAACTAAGGTTGGCACCGCGTTTCATACCTAATATCCGGATGCATTGTACAACAATTACATCATTTTCAGGCCTTTTACTGGCCTTTCACTGTCTGCAGGTCGCTCGGCCCACTTCATCCCACCTATAACACTTGGATTGATGGTCTCTTGTATCATCATCCCAGGGACAGTTTCAAAACATTCGACAAGTATAACAGTCACAATGTTCGAGAAAATACGCCCCATTTTCAAACCATTTCTCCGAATCCTCTCGGACCTCCATCTGGAAATTGATCAACAATACCCGTCCTTTGAGATACCCGTATGCGCTAGGCATCTCATCCTCGCCGGTGATATCGGGCGGTTAGTAGACTACGACAACTACCGCGACTTTTTAAAGAAGCAGACAGATCGATTTCGTTCTTGAAAATCATGAGTTTTACCATCATAACACCTTTGACGAAGGACTTCAACAAGCTTGTCTATTCGAGCAGGAACCGGTCATGAACGGGCGTCTAATCGTCCTCCACCGGCGACGCTACGGTCTCCCCGGATCGCGCGTTAGTATCCGTGGCTACACGCTCTGGTCAAACGTTCCAGAAGAGGCCAAGGGAATTGTCAGGTCAACAGTACAAGACTCTAAACAAACCGAAAATTGGACGGTTGACACACATAATGGATCTCCCATGGCAGACTTAACTTGGCTCCAGAACGAGATAGAGTCAATACAAAGCGAAAACAAGACACGAGATACCAACATTCCATACTGGTCGTGACGCACCATGCCCTTTGCTTTATTTATCACTGCTTATCATACCGTGGATGAGATCAAGTTGAATGGATTATATTGTGTACGATGCGTTGATTGAACAATCATGTTCATTTGTCTTAATCCTGGGGTCCAAAAGCACATGGAAAAGATAGATCGACGCGTAGGGAAGGTTGTACAGCTAAGACAGGTAATCAAACAGGCTTCAGTCAGGGCTATGTGCAAGTACAGATCGGCGATGATTGGAGCAATTCCTATAGTAATTTAGCGTGACTTGGCACTAGGATTTGGAAACAGTGAAAGAGTGGTGGTGACATCATTTCCGAGAATCACTGTACTTCTCATACTCTGTCCATTCGAAAAACATTCGCATGGGTCTCCCCAAGCGATAGAAGCATATCAACCAAGGTACTACATTCCACGAGAGAAATCAGCCTAATACGGATTGCCGATCATCGACCGATCCGCCACCATCGGATCGGCAATTAGCGTGCAGCCGTTGATCGGCATTGGAATTACCCGACATGGGTGAAGAATCGAACATGGAATGTATAAAACCCATGCACTCGGTTATTAGCGATACTGGTATGTTGTCTGGTCGAAAGCTGGTTGAATGCGGGGAGTTGTAAACAACCAACAACCGATCCATGGATGCTTCCGTCTGGGACGAGAGGGGCCGTAGACTAGCTGGTCCCGCTCACAGGCTCCTCTCCACCGTGGATTCGCCTCTAAAATCCAGTAGATGGAAGATGATTGAAGGCATGGGATTGTGGAATGGATCGACACACCTTGGTTCGACTGCTTTGGTTCGGTTACCGATTGCAACCATGCGTTGTTTTCCAAACTAGCCGATTAGGGCTGCAATCGGCCGTCACGTGCGGGACGCGTGTTGTCGGACATGGCTTTATTCAGAACGTCAAGCTTTCCTCTTAGGGCTTTTCTGTTTCCGTCGCATTCCACAGCTCCAGACACTTGACTGCATGGGTAATCGATCACGAGAAAGCTAGAGACACCATACTGTTTGGGATAACGCCACCAACTCCATGATGGTTGCGGATAGGACTCTCAGGATCTCGAGGCCTATAAAGGATCCCCCAGATCACCAGCTCAATCAAACTTCATCATCCTCAATCGATCAAACAAACAAACAACCAACCAATCTCTACTCTCTCGCTTCTTAAGCAACTCTCTCTCCTCACACAACCACCACAAAACCAATTTATCCACCTCCAAATTCTCTCAACTCCATCACAATGCACTACTCTAAGGTCGCTGCTCTGGCCCTCGCCGCCACCGCCAACGCCGCTTACCAGAAGCGCGACGTCACCACCACCACCTGCGAGACCTTGACGCTCACCACCCCCGTTGGCCAGACCACCGCGCCCGCTCCTCCCACTCATGCCAACCCCCAGCCCACCCATGAGGCCCCGGCTCCCCCGGCCCACTCCAGCGCCGCTCCCCCCGCTCCCCACGCCGAGAACCCCCCCGCTCCCCACGCCGAGAGCCCCCCCGCTCAGCAGCCTAGCGCTCCCCCCGCTCAGCAGCCCAGCGCTCCCCCTGCCCAGCAGCC